ATCTGTACTACTCCCTGTGGGAGCCTTAAGACCAGAAAAATTGATGAACGCATCACAACTACATGCGACAGGTGGCCTAGGATTTACAAGTATACAGTGATATCAAATGATACAGAGCCCACCTAGCCATCTTATCTGATAGTCAAGCAGCATTAAGAGCGATCGACTCAGTAACCGTCAATTCGAAGTTGGTCAAAGAATAGCTAAAGAAGCTGAACAAATTATGCAAAGAAAAAGTCTCACTCTTTCAAAATGGTATTTTATCGGCGACCGAAAAGGTTAATTCACGAGCGAAGAAGAGTCTAAGAAGTCTTGTGTGTGACTTAATTTCGGGAAACGATATTGCAATTTTATCGTCGTGTATAAAACAATATTTTTTCCATAGCGAGTTACGTTTTAAAAAATATTCAGAAATTATTATTTCAGGGAATTTGTTACGAGTAGAAAAATATGTGTCCATATTGTGCTGGGTTGGCGTTGGTTTCTATATTAATCTACCCTTGGGGTTAAAGTACTATTTTATCTACTATTTTTGATAGATATAAGGCGCAATTTTAACAGTTGCTATGGAAAAAAAGTAAATAAGTAGCCTTCCTCCTTTCATCTAGGACACGCCACTGGAAGTATTAGGATGATCGAAACGCAAGAACGATCATAGCGACCCCCATGAGATCGCTCATGATTATTTAACGACTTAACAAGGGGGTTGGGGGTGTGTTGTTGAGGGGTAGCGGGCCCTTTCTCGAGTGTAATTTAATTTCCGGGCTAATGAAATTAACGCGTCGTCTTGCCGAAGATCAAAGCGGATTTTTGACGGACGTTATTGGATAATGATCTAGCGAGCAGCGTCGCTAGGTGGCGCTGGTGCTGCGTCTTAGGGGTAATTAGAAGGGGGCTGGAAACTTCTCGTTAGTAATCAGGAAGAAAAAAGTTGAAGAATAATTAGAAAATTGCAGTGTTAAATAGAATAACGTAAAATAATCATTTTCAAGAGAAAATTGGCTTCGAAAAACTAACGTCTAAATTGAATTTAAACTATGAACAACATACCCCATTGTCAAATATTGTTTTAATCATGTGCTGATGATGCTAACATGGTTAGCGAAATGTACGTCCAGTGCAAAAGTAAAGCGCTTTGATGTATTGTGGTGAATTAATGTTTTATTTTCCTGAAGACTTCAGCCATAGCTTTTGCTATGAATTGGATTAAAAATGACATAAAAAATATTCTGTGTAGTTTATACAGGATGTTCCAGAAATAAGTGCCAATATTTTAACTGGTAGTATATTTAGGCCCCAGAAACACGCCTTTAAGTTTTTTTTGCGAAAAAATGTTTAAATTTTTCTTGACATTTTCCGGGAAATTTTAAAAAAGTTTTAGTGCCACTTGTTTATTCACCTGAAGCGTCGAATAAGCTGAAAAACCTCGTGAAAAATCCTTAATAGCCGCTATCGCCAGCGGTTCTCAAAATGTTGCCCATATTTTTTTAAATTTTCATAGTTAAATAACTCGGTAATTTTCAATTTATTTTAAAAATGGTAAAGAGGAAGGATGTTTCGTTTGACCAGATCTACCACCCCTTAAAATATCTGCACTTATTTCTGGGACACCCTGTATATCTGACAAATTTGCCATATAAGGAAATCATTCTCGGGATTTTCAAAAACTTTAGATAAAAAATTTGTTTCTTTGTCAACGCTACATAAATGTGTATCAATTTTAAATTGTATACCGTTTTTTTAACCAGTGGCAGTCTTTTCTCATGGTAGAAGCAAAAATAACTGACGGTATCCCGTTTGTTAATCAAATGTTTATTTATAGATATTTAGTTAAATAGTATTTAGATGGGAAAAAATATTTATTTTATGAACTGTTCAATTATACAGGGTGAGTCTTAAATAAGTGCAAATATTTCTAAGGGTAGTATATTTCGACCCCAGAAACACGATTATGAGGTTTTTTTCGCGAAAAAAAAATTGAAAATTGGGAAACAATTTTTCAAAGAAAAAATGTTTTGGAATTTTTTTAGTTTTTAATTAAAAAATATAATCTGTGGATAATAGGGCAGCATAGGTAGTAGATTAAATTTACAAGAAAGAAAATCCAGAAAAGATCCAGCGGTCCTCAAATTTTTAGCAAAAAACATTTTTTTGGAAATTTCAAAGTAAAATATCTCGATTATTTTAGATTCTTTTATCGAGATCTACCAGCCCTGGAAATATTTGCACTTATTTATGACTCGCCTTGTATATGTATTCTTCCATTTATCAGTGACATCATTCCTATACAGGGTGAGTCTTAAATTAGCGCAAGTATTTTTAGGGATAGTATATTTTGACCCCAGAAACACGCCTATGAGTTTTTTTTTTGAAAATTCGAAATTTTTTGATAAAAATTTTGGATTTTTTTTTTAATTTTTAGGCAAAAAACATAATATCTTCATAATCTGGCAACATAGGGAGTAGATTAAATTTTCTAGAAAGAAAACCCAGAAAAAAATCCAGTGGTTCTCAAAATTTAAGCGCAAAATATATTTTTTAAAATTTTAAAAGTAAAATATCTCAGTTATTTTGAACTTATTTGAAAAACGGTAAAGAGAAAATATGTTTCTTTTATCGAGATCTACCAGCCCTGAAAATATTTACCCTTATTTAAGACTCACCCTGTATAATTTTTTTTCAACTTGAGTTTTAGGCGTGTTTTCTGGGGTCAAAATATACTACCCCTAAAAATAACTTATTTTAAATTCACCCTGTATAGGAATGATGTCACTGATAAATGGAAGAATATACCGTATGATCGAAAAAAAAAACGGCGTCAGCGATGACTATGAAATGAAGGTTGCTGCCATTTTATATGTAAATTTATATGAGAACTCAAGTTGAAATTTTTAGTTAATTTGACCAGAAACTGTATAGAAACGACAATGTATAGAAAAAAATTATACTATATAAAAAAAGTAAGCTATCAAAAATACTTTTAACATTTAGTAGATACATTTTGGACAGAATTTGCTGGGTTAGTCAAGAATTGGTGGATTTTCATCTAATACATATTTGTCCCCGTAGGTTTTAGAAGTTTGTTACTTTTTTTGTTCCATAAAATTTTCTGTGGGACCTACGGTTCAGCCAGAAAATTGAATCCAAAATTTTTTTGAGTTTCTCAAAAACGGTGGGGTGGGGAGATACGAATTTTTGAATTTAAGCTTTTTTAATGGGAGTCTAGACCTTTTTGATGCCCAGATTGACTGTATCTATATACTATATATGACTTCACCAAACAAACAGGAGCAAGTACCATAATTCAGGGCGAAGAACAACAAACAAGTCGCACGATTATAGAAAAAAAATCTGACCCGTTCTTTAGTAATTACCGATAAATAATGTAGCGTTCTGCGGTCCTCCGGTACGCCTACCCCTCTTAACTATTAACGCTGTGTGCGTCGCGTCTACAACCCCTAGGCGCTCGCAGCGAGCTCCGACATTAGAATTCAGCCCTTGTTCGCTACGGCGGCGCTACTACTCTTTCTCCGGCCCCGTCAGTCGCTCTGTGTGTAATTTTGATATTAAAATACGCTCGAAAGAGCGCCAGAAACCCTCCCACCCAGTCTGCGCCTTCAAATAACCCCATCCCACCACCATCAGGGAGAAAGCAGCCACGTCTGTTTGGATTGGTCTCGATTTTTAATCAGCGCCGGTCAGCATATTATCTCGTCCGGCCTGGATGGTGATGATTGCTGGCGTGGCGTTATTTATGCCTGGATAATTCCTGATGAGTCGGACGTGGACCCATTATTAAAAGCTTTCGTGTTGAAATTGAAAAATGTCTTTACAGAGAAACCGATCTTTTCATATTTATATCACAGAAAAAATATTTAGGTCAATATATTCTTGCTTCCTTTCTGAACTACCTTTACTACCAGAAATCAACAAAAGAATTAAGTTTGCATGAGTACTTATGGAAGAAACTCAATCATATTCAAATCTTGAATGCACTTGATCTAAAGAAGAAAACATTCGACAGTGTACTAACAGTTATGACCTATGCATGCGAAACCTGGACACATAAAACGAACATCATAAGGAAACTGCAGAATAACCAAGAGAGACCGTAAAAGAATAGAGAGGATACAACAAAATACCCAGGTAATAGATGTCAGCCACAGAGTCAAATCCCTCAAATGGCAATGGGCAGGATACGTGGCAAGAAGAACGGAGAACAGATGAACCACAAAAATTACAGCATGGTATCCACGAGGAATTCAGAGACCTTACAGTTGAGTGTAAGGTGGAGAAAATTACAGTTGAGGGTTGGAACCTTTGGTGTTACACAGCAAATAAAACACTAAATCATCACAATACACCAAAACACTTTTACTTTTAGAGTGGACGCGCGTTTCGCTAACCATGTTAGCATCATCAGCAGATGATTATAAACTGTTAAAAGTTAGTTATATAATCATTAGTTTATAATCATCTGCTGATGATGCTAACATGGTAAGCGAAACGCGCGTCCAGTGTAAAAGTAAAAGTGTTTTGGTGTATTGAGGTGATTTAGTGTTTTATTTTGCCTAGCAAAAAACCGAACCTGAGATGGGACCATGATATTAGGAAATTAGCAGGGATAATAGACAAAGCTAATAATAGACAACTCCTATTATCCTATAATTTTGTCATTGTCAAATTGTATTTTCTAAACTTGAAACCTGAGGAAGTTACAACCCTTTAAAGCCTTTACAACACTCACTTGAAACATATATATTGTAAATTTTTAGACCATATCTGGCATCATCTTTGATCAGGTTATGTTTATCATCAACATCAAAATAACTTCATCTTCATCGTCATGCAAGAAGACTAACATATTTTTTATTTTCAAATCTATTTATCTTGAAACAATTATATAATTCTTCTTCAAGAATCAAAAATACATAGTATACTTATATTCCTAAAATACCTTCATCTTCAGCATCAAATAACCAATGTATTTTTTCTTCCAGACTGCCTCCATCTTCAGCTGTACAGAGACTCCAAAGACCGCTACAAACAAGGCCAAACCAAAGCTTCCCTGTCGCTTCAACATTTCCTGGGGCTGGAGAGTGGGTTCACCCTGGATAAAGAATCGCATACTGTAGCTATAGTATGTCAGGACGTGGTGGTGGTGCTGGCATTCGACAATCGCGAGAGGCTCATGCAATGGCAGATCAAGCTGAGCACTCACCTCAACGACGGGCCTCATTTTTTAGTCTTAGTATCCAGTTCTCCATTGAAAACAAAGTAAGTGTGCCGAATAGTTATAGGAAAATCTAGGGTTTCTTAAAATAATAACTTACTGATTATAATAATGCGGTCATGTCATAACATTAAATTTATGATTAACTTATTGACCAAGCAGCGTAGACTCTATATAGAATAGAATCTGATACTCACAAGGCACATAGTCACATAGATTATGTTAAACTATCACATCTTTCTGTTTACATCCTATCCAGAGCGACATATTACTTAAATTCATTGTGTGACCATGAACTTCAATCAGTTTGATTACTGCTTCTGATAAAGGTGAGAATTCTAGTTCCTTGAGAGGAACTAGTTCCTTGAACTTGGTATTTAGTTCACAATAGTTCCCGACTAACATTAACATCCCCGTTGCTTACTAATAGGTTTCGTTGTCAGTCAGAACTATTCACAGTATGATCTGTATAATTTTTATAATGTACGAAATATAACGAGACGTGTAATTGCGTATGTTAAAAATATATAGGTAAGTTTTATTGCAGATAAAAAAATTAAAAATGAAACTCAAATCAGAGTTTAAAAAACTATATCACAAATCAGTTGGAGCAAATCATACGAAAATTTTACGAAAAACTGCATTTTTCCTCAATTTAAACTTTTTGTTTTTGTCTAAAAATTCAGAATATCTACTTCGTTTTATAAGATATTTCTTAATTTTAGGGACCTAAAGTGAAACATTCCCGTAAAATATTCACAGAACAAACTAAAAATCAAAAACAGTATCCACGACAATTTTCTGTGGTAATTACACCGGTTACGGCTGTGGCAATAGACAAGGCCGAATCCATCGTCGTCGCCTTGTATTATATCTCGGATCTGCCGACTAAATAGATTCCCGTGAACTAGTAGTTTAATTAGTTTCTCTAGTTCCTGTCAGTCCTTTTGGTCCGGGACAGGTAACATACTGATGGCACTCTCCACTCCCGCCTAGCATCGGGCCTAGGCCGATCCGTACGTAAATTAGTTTTTTATTTAGTTCCTCTAGGTCCGGATCCGATAACATACGGCTGGCACTCCCCACTCCTGCCCAGCATCGGGCTACGATCGCGCTGGCCGATCCGTCGCCATCGCATATTATTATATATCCCTGAATAGGTCCTGAGGAACTAGTTCTTTGAGCAACCGGGAACTAGTTCCTTTCATTCCGAGGTCGGAATAGTTCGTTGGAACTAGTTTTTTTACGACCTACACACCTCTAGCTTCTGAACATTGCCTAACATATATCATTGTTGCTTCGTTATTGGTGGCCGAGGAAGATGGGTTCTGTGCCTGTGAATGGCATTAAGGATCCTTGTTTGACCATTTCATGTATATTTTCATTATCCTTGTTACCCTTGTACCCCTATCCAGGCTAACGTAATATTACTACACTCACCCAACATAACCACAAGAGTGGAGAGGCATAACAGCAGAACGAATTTGGACTATATCAAATTACAATTAAAAAAAATCTTCGCAACCAAAAATAAATTCAAATAATTATTTTGTTTCTTCTAGACTTCCACCAGGTCCAGCCAGATTACACGTCCAAGAACGTAGTTTCTGTATTACCACGGGTGTGCCACCTCGCGTCGCTGGCCAATGGCAGATAGCGGACTTGAGAAGGTACGGCGTGGTGGACGGAAGGTTTTGCTTCGAAGGTGGATCAAGGTGCCTCAAGGGTGAGGGATTGTATATATTAATAGCGGATCAGGGTGAAGAGATCATGGCAGCACTACAAGCTGCGGCAACAGGGAACCTACACGCTTCCAGAAAAAGGCCAGTGTCGAGGAATATGTCAGGTGAGTATAATTATGACACTAATACACTGACCGATACGAAAAACGGACAGCTAATAAAGCTCTTAAGATTTTTATAATTTTTTAAGCAATTTGTATTTGTATAAAATTATAAGACTAAGTTAAAAAAGCCGAATCAACAGTTCTTTACCACCAATTTTTCTAATACTTATACAATTCTTATTATTGGTTATACAGTTAAAATCTGAAAAATGTAATAATAATAATTTTTCATAATTTGTAGTAATGGATAGTCCTGCTAGAAGACCAGCAATACGAACGAATGAACTACGAGAGAGTGAAGCAAGTCTGACATCCCGAGCGGACTCGCCCTATACAGATTTAGAAAGCAATTACGGCTGTGGCGATAGCATCTCTAACGACGGATGGAACCAACCTTCAATAGAGAGATGCATGAGTTGTATAAGTAAATTAGGTAACTGCAAAATACATCATATTATTATCCTTTTCTTTTAATATAAATTTATAAAAATGGGTTTAATCTGCCAAACATTTCAGTGAAATTATTCAATAATCATCACGTTTAAAATTTATAATCAGTGTATCATAATTTGCAAGATTATGCAAACGATATCACAATCCTACTCATCATTTTTAGGTGCTATGTCTAGATCGTCGACCGCTACGGTGACAGTAGGTCCCACGATGGGTCCACCATGTTGGGAGCACACCTGCGACCGTCACTCCATCAGCAGCTCCAGTGATAGCTCGGGATGGAGCCAAGCCGTCACCAGACCTCCACAGAGACCTCCTAAACCAGCCTCTAGTTCCCCCTCGCCAAAGAAACCCATAGCTCCGTCACCATGTTACGATAATTACGATATTCCAAAGATACCTTTCCCAGTGGTAGGTTTATTCATCTTCATTGGTTGTAGTAGGCCAGTAAGCGAGAATAAAAATAGGGTATTACTTCCGAATTCTTTATACCCTCACCGATTGACATGAAATTTTAATAGCGAATAGAGATATATGTAAGAAACAAAAGTTACATAGTAGCAATGTGTGCTTTCATCCTGGGGATGAGTGCCACCCCTTCTCGGGGGTGAAATATAAATCACCCATTTTAATTGCAAAAATTAATAAAGGGATGAATTCTAAGCAAAAAATGTTCTACGACATTTTTTCAGAAAATTAATATTTTCCGAGTTATTTAGGATTGAAAATGTTGATTTTTCATCTAAAAACTGCATATTTTTCTGCCATTTTTTATAAATAACTCGAAAACCTTACGTTTTATCGCAAAACTCAATTAAAGCAAAAATGAGGCTTTTGGAATAACGAATCGATTCATTGTTGTTTATTACTGTAGGTACAATAACAGCCGAGTTATCACTCTGTAAAAGTGATTTTTTTATTTTTCGAAAACTAAATTGCAACCTTTTACTGTAAAATAATGGCGAAAGAACACATTTTTCAAAGAAAATTAATATGACCGTTTTTAAAGTGCTCGAAAAGACCTTATAAATGCTTTTCTAAAAAAGTTCGTAGCTCAAAAACTCGCGGAGTTATGATAAAAAAATGGTCATCTCATTTTTTCGGAAAAAAATTAACAACAAAATCTATGACTAAAATCATGATCAAAATTAAAACTATCAATTTGTAGGAAATTACACGAGTTACAACTTAACTTCTATTATTGAACAGTCTCGAACTCTTCATTTTTACGAGATTATTGTGTTTTAAGGGTTCAAAGAAGGTGGTCCTTACACGCAAGTTAAACTAAAAAAACGTAATATCTACGAAATAACGAGATCTACAGAAAAATTGAAAGAGAGCAAAAATATTGCAAGAAAAAGACCTTCAATTTTACTCTGTTGCATTTTTACGTATCTTGATTAGTTTTTGAGATATGTCAAAAAAATATTTTTTTTTCCAAATTTAGGCATTCTAAACCGCTCGAACTGGCAGAGCCCATTGTTAGTGCCTAAATATAGCCAACTGTATGTACATGTATTACGCTTAGTTTTTATTTTTGTGATTTTAGTCATAGAAAAATGTGTTCTTTCACCAATATTTTGCGGTAAAAGTTGCAAATTTAGTTTTCGAAAAATAAAAAAACACCTTTACAGAGTGATAAATCGGCTATTATTACACCAACGGTAATTAACAAAAAATGAATCGTTTAGCTGTTCCAAAAGCTTAATTTTTGCGTTAAAACGCAAGGTTTTCGAGTTATTTATAAAAAATGGCAGAAATATATGCAGTTTTTAGATGAAAAATCAACATTTTCAATCCTAAATAACTAGGAAAATATTAATTTTCTGAAAAAAAATTATAGAACATTTTTTGCTTAGAATTGACCCCTTTATTGATTTTCGCAATTTAAATGGGTGATTTATTTTCCACCCCCGAGAAGAGGTGGCACTCAACTGAAATTACACATCGCTACAATGTATCTTTTGTTTCTTACATACAGGTTGTTAATTTGTTTATTACCCGCGGCAAGAGTTTTATGGTTGAAATATGGCAACCTCAGCCCGCTCGTCGAAAGACGACGCGACGCACAGTGCTTCGTCCCATGGACAAAAATCGAAAAAAAAGTTAAACTTTACTAATACCTGAATATGTAATTTTATACTTATAGCAATGTTCAACCATCCTGTATATTATTTTTCATAAACAGCGTTTTTTGTTAGCAAATATTTTCACTAAAAATAAATTTTGCGATCATTGTCTTATCAGTGAAAAGAATAACATTCATAGTAGTTCTGTATATTATGGAGTTAAACGGTACGTACTTAATTGAAAGCCACTATGGATATTGTTAAACAAGGTATGTACTTTAAATTTATTTCTAAACAAGTTCGTGATTGTTTAGTTTTTCTTTATTTTTTAAGGTGATTCTTAAATGGGTAAAAAAATTTTACGTTTTCAAACTTCAAAAAGGTATTTAAAAAAAAACATATCAAAACATATCGTATTTATTGAATATTTTTGTTGTCATATTAATACACTTTTAATTTTTGTATAGTTCACCTGCGTCTGCTTGCGACGAACTTTATTTTATAATACTTTTCAGATGGAGTAAAATTGATAAGCAATGCCGATCTGGTTAATACTTGGCTTGATCATAAGGACAAGAACTTAAAATTATTTATATTTCAAAAAATGTGTTCTTTATTAGATATTGATGAACTTTTCAGTCAAATGAGACACCACTTGTGCCTGAAAAAGTCCACTATGTTGGAGCGAAGCGTCGCATAAAAAAAGTTCCATCCTTTCAATTTATTATAAAACCTCACACCCAAGAAAAGGAAAAAATAATATATGGATATGGTCTATTAAAGAGGTCTATTAACTATTAACATCCGAACCCCTCATACCAACAAAAAGAACAGTAACAACGCCAAAAAGTAACATATTAGAAAATGATACAAAAATATCTTATATCTGAGGATACTTCATCTACCTGTGATTTAGATACTATAAATTTGGAAGATTCTGTCAGCAGTGATTCTTCTGAATCAGAGTAGTTACGATCTATGCATTTTGTTGTCGTAAAGTAAATTTATAGTATCTTAAGTTTTTTTTTAATTAGATATAACATTAATTTTTCTTTCTCATTAAAGAAAACCATTTTTATCTTATATTAGGCTTATATTGTAGGAATGATGTTCTAATATTATTTCAATTCTTTTTTATCACAGGGATTTATTTAATACTTACACCGTTTTCATACTATAAATTATTATTTCCTTAGATGGAACACAGCTCCAACATTTTTATTATTTATAAGATTTCTTTTCATAAACGTGGGACTAAGAACATCATCATTTAGTACAATGAGAGTACTCATCATTTGTGTCAAATAAACCTAGTTTGAATAAATTGCCTACAATAAAAGAGAAGTTTTGGATTTTTGTCCTCTAGAGAGATATGTTCGAAGCACTGTGCGACGGGACGAGTCGGCAGCTTAGCTTAGTACTCATTTGGAATTGGATGCAGTGTTGCCATTCTTTTCCCCAATAAGTAGCCGTCCAGATAACAATCTGTATATCTCTATTCACTATTAAAATTTCACGTCAATCGGTGCAGGTGTTCAGAATTCGGACCCTAAAACCCTCGCTTACTGGCCTAGTAGTAGAGTTTTATGACATTTTCTCTGTTATATACAGGAACCGTCGCAATCGGAACACTACGATACCCCGCGAAAACTGAAAGAGTGTATCGGTTTCGAGACTGTACAGAAACCGTGCGGCTGTATCCTGAGAATCCGACAGCCCGAGCCGGAGAGGCCGTGCGTCTGTCAACGCCTGATGAGCTGCTGGTCAGCGCCCGAAGATTCAGTTCACGCCGTCTACGCCACTGTCGATTACAGTAAGAAAACTTATCGGTAAGTAGGGTCGTATCCGACTCGTAGATGCCTGGGATATCAAAGTGTGACGTCACAATAGTAGGTCTATGCATTACGTATCTCGTATAGGGAAATGTAATGATTTTGTTGACAATTTTAATTAATAATTAATGAGTAATTATTTAATATTAATAGTAATATGTAACTAGTTGGGAAACAGGCTATTCTCTTCAAAAAAGTACTATGGGTATTTGGCCACTGTAAGAAAATTTATCAAATAAAATAGTTATTTTTTGTAAACACTGCTGGGTTAATCCAACGGAGACTAAATGTCAGCAGTGGTTTATTAATAAACAAATTTGCCTATCGGACAAAAAAATACTGTACGTTTCGGGAATTATATCTCTTTCCGTCGTTGGAAGCAAAAACACACAAAGAACAAAGAAAAAGAACTAAAATATCTAAATACAACTATTCTAGAACATTTTAGTTATTTCAAACAGATATGTCTTTAAAATCCGTTGACGTTCTGTTAAAATGACATTATATCAAGTTAAACTTCAAAATTAACTAAAGAAAAATTCGATAAGGTTGTTTTTTCTTCATTCAAAAATTTTAAACAACCCATCCGTTCACTTTTAGTGCATATTTTTTCAGCAATCGTGTAATTTTTTTATTTATAAAGATTTTCACATATACTGTCTGCGAAAAAATGTTAAGACAGTTTATGAAATAATTAAAATCAATTATTCTAATAGATTTCGAGATATCGATTTTTGAATTCAGAGTAATAGCGCGACCACTGTCGAACACCAACTCAATTCCACTTATTTTTACCAAAAATGCAAGTGTTTCTAACTTGCACTTAAAAATTTTCAAGCTATAGGGAGAATTACAACAACTCGTTAATAAATAAACAAATAAAGTATCACGAGACGTAATTAAATCGTGAAGCGGAACGCATGGTGTACATCGTTCCCTTGAAGTACTGATAGAGGTACTGATTGGATCGACCGATCGATTGCAACAAATCTCCTATATCCCCTTCCACGTCTCTTAGCAATGTGCACAGTTTCTCGGTTTATTTTATATGTTTGGCAACGTGTTTACTGTTCTCTCTTTGTTCAGTACATTATAAACGCGTTGTACTCTTCTTACATACGGAAATCTCGACCCAAGACTAACTTTTTGCCAGCCCTTAGTATTGTGTATTGTTATCATTGTGAGTATTCTCTCTATAATTTGGGGTTGGTATTTATTTGTATTTTTTTGTTTGTAATATATACCTATTATTATATGTAACGAATGGATATTACAGAAAATAGATATTCCCCCCCCCCCCAACTTATTACATACACGATTTTTTCTAATTTTGACTAACGACTTATTAAGTATTTCATTTGAATATGAATGTGTAATCAAATGATGACAGAGATGTGATCTACTAATGTGACGTCACTGATGACGTCACGATTTTGATTTCTTATTTTATTATTCAGCTGCCATCCAAATCCTGGAACCACGAACTACGCCAACCTAACCCCGGTGAGCGTTTCTAACGCTAACAACACGTCTACAACGAATCAAACGTCGAAAGATAGTAATTACGAAAACATGGAATTTGCTCAAACACTTCAGCTATACGAAAACAGTAAAGAGATATCGGAAAAGGCCCGAACGCTGTGCCAGAAATGCGGACACGCTCAAAGCGACTATCTGCTCATGGAACCGTCTAAAGCCGCTAGTCAACCACATCCAGGGTAAGTGTCTTATCCTGATCCATAATCCATAAACAGTGTTCCAAAATAAAAGCTTTATATTAGGTATGATGGTTGAGATTATAACTTCGATCATTTCTACGAGAAAAAATCTATCGGCTTGGTGCATTCTCCGCCGGTGCTGCCACCACCGGAGAATATCGTAAACAACTAGTACTTACAAATACACGGGTTTAAACAGAGAGAATACGAAAAATGTATTATTTAAATATTCCAAAGTGTTAGGAAGTATAATTTGTGAAAATTCTAAAAATAAAAACAAAAAAGTAAATATTTTGATATCTTTAGAAGGTCTAACTTGTATTATAATTGTTTATTTCAGTTAAAAAAATCTTTTTAGATGAGTTCAACTACGGTAGAGAGCATAGTTTTAATCGGCGGTTTTGCTAGTGGGCCATAATTGGGGCAATTTCGGCTATAACGAAATTTTTTAAAGGTACATAATTATAATTTTAGAAGATGTTCATAAAAAATTTAGTCACTAGTTAATTAAAAAAAGTATACTATTAATATTGCAAATTATATTTTATCCTCTCATAGTATAAGTCTATTTAATGTTTTGATTATGTAACGAGCAGTTTGTTTACTCACTAGTTTTGTCAAACTGCTTGAGCCTTGAATCCATTTTTGCTATGGATCAAATCGGTGTGAGAAAGTATGAAGCTATAAAATGTTGTTTCGGGAGAGTTAAATATCCGGGAAAGTTGAGTTATTGAATGTTATTGCACCCAACAACGCCCTAATTACGCTCTCCTATACGCGTTAACATCTTTTCGGCAATTTTATTAACATTTGAAATTGTCACAACACAACACGACGTCCAGTTCAAATTCTTTTTCACTTATTTTTTAGCCGACCATACCAACAGGTATGGTAGGCTATTAAGATCGGCAAAAAAAAAGTTTTTTTAATTTCACTCAAAATGAGTTATTTGGATCATAAATGACCTAAATACAAAATATTTTCATGGTGTCTGTCTGTCCGTCTGTAACACGATAACTCAAAAATCGCTAAACTGATTTTAACCAAATTTGGCACAAAAATACTGTAGCACCCGAGAATCTGGTTATTAGCTTTTGGTGGGGGTGGGGGGTTGGTAAGGGGGCATTAGAGGGGGTTAAAAATTTTAAAAAATCATATCTCCAAAATTACAGTAGTTAGCGAAACGCGGTTTTCAATTTAAGATTAGGAATAATATTTGCAACAAAATTTGTAATGACATCAAAATCAGTCAAAGTCGCAGTTTTTGAGATAAAAAAAAATTGGAAAAATTGCTTTACTTTGAAACTAAAAGAACTGCCTACCAACTTTAACATATTTTAGTATGGGCGGCTATACGTGCCTCCCGGGGCCAATTTTTTACTACCCGAAACAGCGTTACATCACACAAACCCCGTACTTAAGTGTTTTATATATAGTCTCAATAACTGCACTAGCAAACAACTAAAATACTTAAATATTATGACAAAACTATGATTTCAGTATTATATACGATCAACATGACGGCGCGGCGGCGTGAAATAGGTACTGATAATTTCAGATTTTGGCCGTTGAAGCGCTGCAGTCGGAATTTGTTAAAATCAACTGAAATGCACCAAGCCTATAAATTTAGTAAACTTTCACACCAAAACTTTTTAACCAATCAAAATTATCTATTTCAAAATGTCACCATCCATATCTGAGTTCCTGTGAACTTGCATATTAAAAACAGAATATTTTTAAAATAGTAAACTATCTCTAAAACTGGAAACTTAATTTACAGCTTCTTTTACTGAACAGTGATCACTTTGTACCTATACTTCTTTCACTAACTCTAACCCTTTCTCTTCGGCAGTCAACTGAAGCATTGTTTCAGGTATATCCCGATGTCTCCAGCGGTGAAACAGCGTCTCAGCAAAGTCCTGTCGAACAGCAATCCGAACCTGGGTCCGGTATTGGACAGGTCCAGCAAACCGGCTCCTGGGTCAGCCATGTTGCACGCGGGCGACGTGTACCAGAGGAAGCAGATCATGGACAACGCGGATGATTTGGACAGTGCAAGAAGAAAGAGGTCAAATAGTGCGGATTCTAGTACTAGTAGGGTGGAACCTGAACCCGAACCAGATGTGGCATCGCCTTGTAAATGCGCTGTTCAGACCACACAAGCTGCTCAGTTGGGTAAGATTGAAAATTGTCTTTTATTAAAAACTAGCTTTTGTCTTAGATCTTATAAACTCTGTGGATAAGTAAATTCGCTTCATTTTTATTGAAGACACGTCAGCGATTCTTTGTATTTGTCTTTGATACTGACTGACCAATCGTCTGTCTTTCTATTGTGTATATGTCATTTTACAAAACAGATTATAGTTATTCAAGAAAATATTCTTTAAAAAAATTTCGGGAGACGATAATGCAATTTTATCGTGTGTATAAAATAATATTTTTTCCATAGCGACTTACGTTTTAAAAAATATTCAGATATTATTATTTCATGGAATTTATTACGAGTAGAAAAAATATTGTGCTGGGTTGGCGTTGGTTTCTATGTAATTTGACAAATAAATAAAGCTGTCTCTTTAGTTGTCAGTTTTGAATCAATATTTTTTAATTCTCTTTCGTGCCAATTGCTGATTGAATTGGAGCCAGAAATGGCTCAAAACGAAATAAGTAAATTACCAACAGATATTCAGGCTGAGGCGACAAACGCCATATCCAAACTGCTTCCATTTATATCCCGAATAACTTATGAAAAGCAATACAAAAATTTTCAAAAATGGAAGCAATTAAAAAACGTGCGAGAAGAAATAAAGTTCTTAACCTATCCTCGCTGTTAAAGTACCATTTAATCTACCCTTGCGGTTAAAGTACTATTTTATCTACTATTTTTGATAGATATAAGGTAATTTTAACAGTTGCTATGGGAAAAAATTATTTTTTATAAAATACAAAATTTAAAAATATAATAGAATAGGAAAAAATAATATTGTTTTTCGGATATTAATTATTTATAGGATAATATTTGCTATATTCTTACTAGTACATTAATATCTAAAGAAAAAAAAATATTTCTAAAACACCAGAAGAAAGGCGAGTATTTTATGGCGCCCAACGTGGGGCCCCATGTTTTCGCCCTTTTTGTGTTTTTGAGATTGAAAAACAATTTTTGAAGGGTTTTATTGACAGAATCTCACAGACTTACACCCGAGACACAGGTACATTCGATATCAGGATTCTCCAGCATTTTCTATAATACTCCTCATAATACCTCGAAGTTGTGACAAGTCGGGTATATTGGGTTGCATAAGAAAGAAGCATAAATATAATTAAAATAATTAAATATTACAACAAGATGTACCGGAAAAGAACGGTATCTCAGTTTAAATTTTAGTTAAAAAATATTACTTCCTATTTTATCCTGTATAATAAATTAAATTAACAGAAAAATGAAAACTTACTACAGCACTGTGTAGTCAGTCAGTGGGGGCTACATGTCAGTGAAAAATTCTTAAAAATCCATTAAGCTGATCTAAAGATATTATATCGTAAAAAGTACCACAAATTATAATGTCTCGTTTTGTATGTCCGTCAGTGGGTTTCTTGTTATACAGTAAAATTTATATTTATTATACTGTTTCAGTGAGACGTTCGTCCAGTGTTCCTTGCAAATCGAATCGAGATTCATCAAGTTCCAACGATTCCGGTGTCTTCGAACTACCTCGACGTCCTCAGTTCTCTGCCAACGTTACCCTGCCCAGAAGATCGAAAAGTTCGGATCCTTTGCGAGACCTAAGTTTCCAATTCAACAAAGCAGCCGAAGGAAAATCGGCCAGTGCCGAAGCTGAAGTACCAGTAAGTACCATTTTTATCCATTACAAAATAACCATTCTCCGGTCTATCTATCATCTATCTATCTCACAATTAAAAACGATTGCATATGAAGACTACACGTGAAAAACCAGCTTTGTCCATTTTAACTGGAGCCGATAAAAATTCAATTACGCGTCGACTACTCCGTTTATTGCCTTGTACGGCAAAAAAACTGAGCTGTAATATCTCTGGGAAAAAGGTGTATTATTGCTTTCTTTGATGGTGCCTTGAATATCGTTAACATTTGCCACTTAAGTTTTTTTCTCTTTTTTTTAAATGTGTGTGTCGCTAACTTAATTTCTACGAACTTGTGACATATCTGGTTTTTCTCGTGTAGTCTTTATATGTTATATTGCTTGCTTTATATGTTATACCATGTAGTAATCAAAATATTATACTATACTATTAAAAATGTGTACTACCAGTCATAACCTATGCGTACACCTCGCAAGAAGGACGGACAAGAGATGGACCACAAAAATTACAGCATGGTACCACAGATTAGGTATCCTATAAGTATACAGATAAAAATCTTGTCCCTAATTCGTGGTACGAAAATTGTTTTTTATGACGATGTGCAAACGAGTAAAATTTCCTGTGCGCAAAAATAACAATAAACAGCGTAATAGAGAGATATCGTTAAATGTGCATGGACGTTAATAAGGCCAGGTGGTATTTCCTTTACGTGAGGTGATAATCAACTCTCTTCATTTATAGTTATCGGATAAGAAAAAATTCTGTTCGCGTCGCGCCCTCTATTTAAACTTAACCTAACTTTGAATTTAAAACTTTGAAATTGTTTTGTTTACTAGGTATTTTAAAACTAAAGGGCTAAAATGCTTATTTCCAGTGCTTTATTGTAGCAACAAGTAACAAATTCTCTTAGAAGGGCTAAGTCGTCATCTGCTGTAAACCTAAGTCTCTTTATAGGTTCTTTAATATTGGAAGAGGTGGAATCCATACTTTGGGCCATATTTATTTAATTAAAACCAGCTACTTAAATATCAAATTACCTAATAAAACTCAAGTAATAATTCAAAACAATTCAAACATAACCTAAAATAAAAGATCTCGCCGGCCGGCCCCGGTTGTCAAATACCCGCACATGCCCATTTAAGCAATTTTTAAACGTTATTTAGAAATAGCGCTTGGTGTAATTGATCCGCAAATTACGTCAGGCGGTAACGTTATTAGAAGGTGTTGCGTTAAAAATTGACTCGCGCATATCGTAACCATGATAAGGTACGCGTAAATACTGCATGACGCTATTCGGTTTTCCGATATCTCTATAATAAATGGTCCGGTCAAGCGCTGTGCACAATTTTAGAGGCCATAAGTGGGCGTGCTATGTGCGCAAACTAGTAACCTAACTAGTGCCCGATTCCGAAAATTGGAACCACGAAAAACAATAAAGAAAAAACAAAGTTTATAATCTGTATAATCTGTGATGGTACCCACGAGGAATTAGGAGACCAAAAAGAAGACCCAACCTGTTTTGGGATCATGATATTAGAAAAATAGCGGGGAGAACTTGGGCCCGTCGTTGTCTATTGTTGGCTATACTACAAAGAGATTATCTAAATCATATGTGAGGGATGCTACGCCATAATTGGAAATGGCTGAATAAGCTGAGAATAATGATGACCATGACTATTAAAAATAAAGATAGTAGAAGTCCAAAGACAATCTTTTAGTAGTAAATCATTTTTATGTTCTGTTTTCAAACCAAACATTTATTTATTGTTCCAGGTGTGTCCAAACGGCAGTACGAGCAGCGGTACCTCGGACATGTCCGACTACTTCGAAACGCTGTCCCTGTCCTCGCACAGTTCCAGCGTGGAACCACCGCCGCCATCTTGTACCCTGCGACCTCGGTCGGGGAACGAGTACTTGAGCATGCAACGACTTATAGCGCCAGTGCCTGAAGAGCACCATTAGAAGATATAAAAATAAAAGAAACTAGTCATACTAAAGAAAGAAAACAGAAAAATAGCAAGCAATAATGGATACCATTATTTTTAAATTCGATTAGAATATTTTAATTTTGTATAATGTAGATAAAGCAACAATACGATTTAACGAAAACCTTTTTAAATGTCTTGGCAGCTCAGTAAAATATTGTAAAATGTAGATAAAAGTATACTATAAACTCTAAACAATAATTATTCTATAAAGTTGTTTTTCTTACTTTGACATATCAATTTAGTTTAGGAAAAATTATCTGTATATTATACTTAGTTTTGTGTTGATTTGGTAAGAAGAATGATTTTATTACAACAACTTGCTTTTTCTACATTCCCCATAGGTGTGAAGTACCGTAAAATGGAATAAAAATGACGTCATATTAGACGGAGAAATGACATTTCAGTTCGTAGTTTACTATTATTGATTTTCTTTGTCTATTTTTTTTTGTCGCTATCCACAACTTCATGGGTAGAGATAGTAAATCTTGTACAAAATAGTCAATTCTACGCCTACTACGACATCGATTTTATTCCATCACGCTGTATCAAATATTATTCTCTCGTTGGACACGGTTTAAATTTACTATTTCATTGTCATTAGGTATTGTTTAACTTTCTTTCTTTCATTATACCTAATACGTGCGCCAACTGTGTTGACATATTAAAAAATAGTACTATTAGATACTAAAAGCTATTCTTTTATTTAAATGACTTTATTTGCGTGTTTGAATTTTTAAATACCTAATTAAGAAATTCTATTGATGAAATAAAACACAAAGGAAAGCCCATTCTACACATAAATATATATCTGTCAGATTTGCCTGTCAACTAAAACAGAAGACCGTCTAGAGAACTGACGGCAGTTCTGTAGGCGACCTTTGGTCTTAGCTTCCTCTACACATATTAAACACTAGTGTATACACTGGAAGTTTTACCTGCGATTCTATCAATTATAGCATTGTGTTTAGTGAAGAAAAAACATGATATTTTACTACAAAATTGTTTTATGGTTTAAATTTCATTTGTAAAGACGTAAACTCATTGTGAAAGTAATATCTTAGGTAGAAATTTGTAAAGTTACATTATTTTTATAAATTTACATAATATAATATTCTTTAGTGTAGGAAAACCGACAGTTATGTTGCAAATATAAATTATCTCGGCAGATCTGTAGGTTAGATATTAGATAATTATTAAATATATCTAAAAAAATTGTAAAATTACATTAATTTTGTGAATTTACATACCGGGTGCGTCTCAAAAGTGACTCACCCCTATAACGTTTTTATGTTTTCAGATAAAAGAAAAACTAGATTTGGTATGTTAGTATATGACATAAATTAGTATTGATTGACGTATTTAATTTTTTTGGTCACTTTCTGTTTCACCGGAAATTACTACAACTTTTGATTTTTAAATGGCACCCTCGGTATATTTTTACTTTATTCAATAGAAAATGATACTCTGAAAAGAATGACATATCACATGGCAACTTTTGGCATTTTCAAAAAACATTAATTTTTAATCAAGAAGCCTTGGAAAAATAGATTTGATCATCTAATCAGAGGCGCAACTAGACATATATGTACTTTTATGTGTATATGGGTGAGCCACTTTTGAGACGCACCCTGTATATTTTCTTTGGTGTAGGCAAATGTTGTTTTTTAGGCAATTTATGTTGTAAAACTGATTGATCTCGTTAGTTCTCTAGACGATCTTCAGTCTTAATTCAGTTCGGAGTAAAAAGCAAAACGGTGCTTTTTTGTCTATACATTGTTATATTACAGTTGAAGGTTAAAAGTTTTGGTGTTATAACAGCAAAATAAAACACTAATTCACCACAATACACGAAAACATTTTCCTTTTTTACTGGACGCACGTTTCGTTAATCTTGTTAGCATCATCAGCATATGATTCAAACTACTTTTAGTTTTACTAGAAATAGTTTTAATCATCTTATTAAAACTATACCTATTTATTTTTCAGCATCCAGTGCAAAAATATAGTGGCTTAGTGTATTGTGGTGAATTAGTATTTTATTTTGCTACATCGGTTTACTTGAACGTTTTGACTCAACAAGTACGTGACAGGAAAAACATTATATACAACATTGACACAAAATATTTTAGAACATAATAAATATTTTAATGGAGAGAAAAACATTAGTGAATGAATATAATATAGATAAATTTATTACACAGGCATTTGTAGTACAGAAATAATTATATTTTTATAATATCTCTAATATATTTTTTTTACTAGATGTCAACTTTAGCGCCTTACCAACTAAACAACACCAGAAAAGCTCAACAAGACATAGTGTTCTTTAACAGAGTACCGAAGGTAGGATCTCAAACCTTAATGGAGCTTTTAAGAAGACTGAGCATTAGAAACGAGTTTGGATTTCATCAAGACCGAGTTCAAAGGGTGGAAACCATCAGATTAGCTCCAGAAGATCAAGCAGTGCTCTCTGGTCTAGTATCCAGCTATGAACCTCCTTCGGTTTATATAAAACACGTTTGTTTCACTAATGTGTCATCGTAAGTAATATATTCATTATTCGTAAATAGGCTCAGTAAAGACACCCTAGGTCCTCATGTCCGATTACTATGCATAAATACTCCCTCCATAATATTTTTATTCAAAAATACTAGTAATCTTTTACCTCTTACCCATAGTAATGACATCAAACCATAAGATTTCTTGATCATTTCTCATAAGTTTTGTGTTACCAAAATAAATACTTTGTTAAAATGCTGGAATTGGTTCAAATTTCGGAAAATCTGAAGAAAAATTAATTTTAATGTATAATTTAAATACAGTTCAAAATCTTTCGAACCGGATTTTAAAATTTATTTTAGTAGAAATCAACAACATAATATTTTTAACAAAATTCTTTGCTAGGTAGATAACAGAATTTCCCAATATTTTCAATTTCTTTATGAACGTTATTAATCCTTATCTTTCTTGCTAAAATAATTAAATTTATTATCTACACTTGAACGCACTTTCTCTAAAACAATCAATAAATTGAAATAAACCAACCACAAAGACATAAACAAAACTGATTAAATTCTCTGTTGTAGATTTGGTCTGCCCGAACCGATTTATATTAATTTAGTACGTGATCCTGTGGAACGAGTAATTTCCTGGTACTATTATGTTCGAGCGCCTTGGTACTACGTTGAAAGGAAAATTGCATTTCCGGACATTCCATTACCAGATCCCAAATGGCTTAAAAAGGTAATTTGACTTAGTAATGAAATATCTGTTAACTATTACTTTTATTATTGTTTTCTTTTCTCTCGAATTGTCGGATAAATGTAAAGCTAGGTTATTAATTATTATAAAGCTAGGTTATTATTTATTATTAAATTAATAAAAAACTTGACTTAACTTAAACTGACATTTCACAAAATTGAAAATATTTCAAAAACAGTAAGGTTTAAGTATAATAAACCTTAATCAAATTTACCTTTATTTTAATCGTAGAAACTTAAAATGTAATAATATACAGGGTGTTCCATTTAAAAAAATACAACTTTGATATTTTTTACTTATTTGGGACACTCTGTATCTTGTAAAATTATTTTTAAATTGTACCTCTAATAGTCCTTCATCGAACCCAAAACTTACAATTTGTAAAAATCTCATCGTTTAGCTACAATACCCCGTGTCGTATGTGGTGAACAACCCTGTATATTATGTATATAAACAAAAATTTTACCCTTGAAAAAATTCACCCAGTGTGTGATCTGATATCCAAATTATCAATCTACTCTAACGAATTTATTTGACATATTTTTATAATATCTTTAATTTATTCTTCGTCGAATAAAGACTTAAGCACAGCTTATATTTATATTAAAAGTATAAAATAGTCTATATCTAAATCAATACAAATTATTAGTCTATTGACTGTATTGTATTTTTGTGATATTCCTATTTATTTTTTATCTTATGTGGGACAATACCATCATATAATTTAGCCTTGTATTATTTTTTATTACTAAATAAAAATATATTCGTCCCTCTGATAAGATAATGTTAAAAAATAGGTTGAAATTTACTTCTTTATAAATTTTGAAAACTATTAAACTATATAATAGCGATTTTCTTTCGTATAAAAAATTCTGAATTTTTATTATACAGGGTGTCCCAGAAATAAGTGTAAGTATTTTAACTGGTAGTATAGTTCAACTCCAGAAGCACGCCTATGAGGTTTTTTTCGCGAAAAAAAAATTAAAAATTTTTTTAGTTTTTTGTTTAAAAATATCATTTCTTGATAACATGGCAACATACATAGGTATTAGATTAAATTTACAAGAAAGAAAATCCAGAAAAGATCCAGTGGTTCTTAAAATTTTGCAAAAAATATTTTTTTAATTTTTGATTTTTTTAATCGAGCTCTAACACCCTTTAAAATACTTACACTTATTCCTGGGACACCCTGTATACAGGGTCTCCCAAAATTCCATGGACATAGAACTACTGCGTATTCTTGGAATCAAAATAAGTTCATTGGACACAATTTATTTTTATACAAAAGTGCTTTGTTTGTCCGTCAGAGGGGATCAAACTTTAAAAGAAGCATTTTTTCAAATATTTTATTAAATTTTCAAATATTACTTTGTGCAATTAACTTATTTTGATGAAAAAAATACGTACCTAGTAGTTCTATATCCACAGACTATCGGAACTCCCTGTATTTTTTAACTCCCTGTAAGTCTGCTTTGGAAAAATATATTCTCCATTTTTTTTTTCTAATTTTGCAGATAGAATCACACATATCTTCATTTCATAGCCATCGTTGAGGCCGTTTTTTTCGATCATTTTGTATTTTCGGTCTTTACTTAATAAAATTTCTTGCTCTTATATTTCTATACTAATTTAATTTATGAATAAAGAGATAATTTGAGTACATTGTTCAGTGGTTCTATTTGCTATAATTTCCTTAAGTAAATCTAACTTTAACCCTTTAAATGAAAAAAGAAATGGCATTAAAGTGAATCAGAGGGAAAGCAAAAAACTGTCTAATCACCAAAAATGCAGCAGCCAAAAGTCATTAACACGAACCAAGATAAATTAAGAAATTATACTTTCGCAAAAAAGGCCATCCCATTGCAAAATTCACTTCATGCACTTAAAATCATTTCGATGTCCCATATTCTCTGTTATTTGTTTTTATTTATCGTTTTCATATGACAAATTACTGTATGTTAATTAGCAAATGCATTATACAGGTGATGAATATTCATGAAAAAATATAATAAATGTATATAATCTGAAACTGGCTTTGCAAAGTCATAAATGGTTGATGGCATTAAAAAATCAAAACAAATTTAAGAATGTAGGTTGGGGAAAGTAAGGAGTATTCAAAAAGTGAATTTCTTTTGGCTCCAGCATGATTTATTACCTAAAAATACATGACAGAAATGGCTGTTGTTAAAAGTTGCTCTATATTTTTTTCTGTAGATTTCTAGTCTTTATTATTCAATAATAAAAAATTGTAAATATTTACCAATAGAAGAAATTATAGTAACAATATAAGGGAACACCGGTATCCTAAAAGTACATAGAGCGAAGGTATGTTTGAAATAACAAAGAGATACCACAAGAGGAGAGAGATAAACAGAAGACACGGGCAACAAGCGTGTGATCTACAGAATTAAATCACGCTAATGACAATAGACAACTCACCTAGCAATACAACTGACAATAATAATAATAATCTAAGATGGAACTACAACTTTAGAAAACAATCTGACCATCTCTCTCTGAACTGTCTATCGTCATTTCGAAAGTAACTCGACGCAGTTTTTTTTCAATCAGACTGGATATTATACAGGGTGTCCCAGAAATAAATACATATATTTACATGGTAGTCTATTTCGACCCCAGAAACACGCCTATATTTTTTTCGCGAAAAAAAATTTTGAAAATTTGAAATTTTTTGAAAAAGTTTTTGGATTTTTTTTTAGTTATTAGTTAAAACACATTATTTCTTGATAATATGGCAACACAGGGGCGCATATACGGGAGGGGTAATGGGGGTAATTACCCCTATACCAAAAATTTAGTGTAAAATAAAATTGTTACAAAAAAGTTAATAATAAAAATTAAAACAGAATATCCAAACCAATCCAAATAGATTTTTTTCATAGTTACAATACCTTCCAGTAAAAATTTAATTCAAATTTAGTATTTTTTTGAATATTCACACTACCCGTCCCAGACTCAATCTCTAGATGCGCCACTGGCTCTATAACATGGGATACAACATTTTAATGAACAGTTCTTTCAATAAAATCAATAAAATGAAAAATATACGAAATAATATACATGTACTGATGTCTTTCGAAAATCGACAACTATGAAACTATGAACCCTTCCCGGACACAATCGGTAGATTGTGAGACAGGAAATTGTAAAGAGAAACAAGCCCTATAACATAGGATACAACATTTTAATGAACAGTGCTTTCCATAAACTCAATAAAATGAAAAATATACGAAATAATATACATGCACTGATTTCTTTCGAAAATCGACAACTATGAAAACTATGAGCCCTTCCCAGACACAAACGGTACATTGTGAAACAGGAAATTGTAGAGAGAAACAAGCCCTATGACATAGGATACAGCATTTTAATGAACAGTGCTTTCCATAAAATCAATAAAATGAAAAATATACGAAATAATATACATGTACTGATTTCTTTCGAAAATCGACAACTATGAAACTATGAATCCTTCCCGGACACAAACGGTACATTGTGAAACAGAAAATTGTAGAGAGAAACAAACCCTATACAGGGACGCATATACAGGCGGGGTAATGTGGGTAATTACCCCTCCCAGAAAGAAATTAATTAATAAGATAAAATTTGGTATAAAATAAAATTGTTACAAAAAAGTTAATAATACAAATTAAAACAGAATATCCAAACCAATCCAAGTAGATTTTTTTCCACAGTTACAATACCTTCCAGCAAAAATTTAATTCAGATTTAATACTTTTTTGAATATTCACACTACCGCTCCCAGTCTCAATCTCTAGATGCGCCACTGTGGCAACATAGGTAGTAGATTAAATTTACAAGAAAGAAAACCTTGAAAAGATCCAGTGATTCTCAAAATTTAAGCAAAAAATCATTTTTTTTAGAAATTTCCAATTTATCGAGATCTTACCACCCCTTAAAATATCTGTACTTATTGCTGGGACACCTTGGACACCTAAAAAGATCTATCCCGAAAATCAAAGTATTTTAAATACAACCTAATAATGCGGTCAACCAGAAAATATATCATATGCATAGAATTTTTTGTTTAGGTCAAAACGTATCTCAAATCTATCCATCAGGAAAGATTGCGACAGAAGACTCCGAAAAATAACAGAAAGCAACTGTGTATGTAAAGTATACTGTCTCATTAAACAGACTTTATATTTAACGTCAAATTTCGAGACAACATATACCTCTACTCCTGCAACTTTTAATACTACTGAAAAGGAAGACCTCATACTATACTATAAGTACAAGTTCAAAATTGTGAATATTTTTTGCTTCGTTTTTGAATTAAAATTCCCACTATTTTCTAAATCACCCCGTATACGATACCAATCTGAATCAGGAGAACCCAACGATTCACCTCCACGTATAAAATGCAAGCCGCTAAAAGAGATTTTTTTAGTACCACCACCATCTTCAATAACTCAGTAGTACCATGACACCGATTATACAATAACCGGGCGTACTATTTAACATATTACTCGATCAATCCATTAATAATTGAATAGAGTTTAAATATTATGTACCTTTTTATACAAAAATCAGCTTTGATATTGACAGTGAACGTATTTCTACTTAATTTAAAAGCCGTACCTTATGACTGTGCGAAAGTTGCCAAGAGCGGGTACCCCAAATTTCCTGTTCCTGAGTGCAGTTGTGGAAAAAGGTCTGTAGCCTGGCATCCTACGAGGGAACCAAGGATTGTTGGTGGTGAGGAACCTCCTTACGGTGCTGTACCATGGCAAGTAAGTACCATTTCTATCTTACCTAAAAAAATATTGAGATGTGTTTCTGACATAATCCAAAAATACATATACTAGTGGAGTATTTAATAGAATTACTAGTTCGTATTAAGATTTTTATGTATGGTAGGTAGTTGTTTTTTGTGCTGTTCATGTACAGGGTGTCCGATTTTTCTGTGTTTTATGGGATTTCTTAAAAAAAATTATAAAGAATGCATTTTTCTCAAAATGTCAATAATAAAAAAGTTTTTCCTCTTGTAAATTTGATTTTTTTTATTTTGGTCAAGTCGCCGATTTTGACAAGGATAGTGTTAATAACTAATTAAAGGGTGTAAAATAAGAAAATACATTCCTTTTTGGTCGTATGAGTACGTCACTAGATGTAGACGAACTGTCAGCCATCATTAAAAATTGTTTTAGAACAAGGGTTGAAAAAATCGACTTTATAATAAAATAATAGCATTAAAGCCTTTTAAATGTTTATATATTCTAAAAGTACATAAAGTTTCCTACAAATCCTGTATATTTCTATTATTTATACTATTTTTGTAGACACTCCGAAATCAAGTAAAAAAATAGCCAAAAAAGAGCAATTTTTCATAGAGTTTTTTCCATAGATATGTTTATTTTTTTTTTTTTTTAATTTGTATACATTTTGTACTATACAGGGTGCCCCAGAAATAAGTACAAATATTTTTCAAAGGTTTTTCAAATAAGTCCAAAATAACAGAGTTATTTTACTTTGAAAATTTCCAAAAAAAAATATTTTTACCTAAAATTTTGAGAACCTCTAGATCTTTTCTGGATTTTCTTTTTATAAATTTAATTTAATACCTATGTTGCCATATTATATACCGGGTGCGTCTCAAAAGTTCACCCCTATAAATTTTTTATTTTTTCAGATAAAAAAACGAGATTTGGTATGTTAATTTATGACATAAATTGGGATTAATTGACGTATTCAATTGTTTTGGGTCACTTCCTGTTTCACCGGAAATGACTACAACTTTTGATTTTTAAATGTTACCCTCGGTATTTTTTACTTTATTCGATAGAAAATAACACTCTGAATAGAATGGCATATCACATGTCAACTTTTGACGTTTTCGCATATGGTTTATTTGAAATTATAACTTGCGCTGCGTAACGAAAATTTGACTTGAAATACAAAGTGTGTGGTATCAAATTATTCGTAAAAAAATACTTTTTCCAAATATGCTAATGAGAGAAAAAATTGAGATATGATTAAAAATACGATTTGGGCATTTTTTAACCGGCCAGGACAATAAGACACTAAAAACATTAGACGATCAAATCTATTTTTCCAAGGCTCCTTGATTAAGAATTAGTGTTTTAAACATAGCCATTGGCACTCTAGATTGAGATTTAAAATACGATTTTTTATTAAGCGAGAATGTCAAAAGTTAACATATGATACGTCATTCTATTCAGAATATCATTTTCTATCGAATAAAGTAAAAATATACCGGGGGTGCCATTTAAAAATCAAAAGTAATTAGTCATTTCCGGTGAAACAAAGTCACCAAAAACATTTGAATACGTCAATCAATTCCAATTATTTATGTCATATACTAACATACCAAATCTCGTTTTTTTATCCGAAAGAATAAAAAAGTTATAGCGGTGAGCCATTTTTGTGACTCACCCGGTATATATAAAAACTAAAAAAAATCAAAAAAATTTTTCAAAAAATTTCGAATGTTCAATTTTTTTTTTTTCGCGAAAAAACTTCATAGGCGTGTTTCTGGGGTTGAACTATACTACCAGTTAAAATATTTGCACTTATTTCTGGGACACCCTGTATAAAAAAATAGGTCTTAAAAAATTAAAATATTTAAAAGTATTTTATTAAATTTGTCATTTTAGTCTATTTAATTTCAGGTTTCTTTGGAATACCGTGGAAAACATCGATGCGGTGGAGTACTGATTTCCAAAAGGATAGTACTAACCGCAGGGCATTGTTACACGGAAAACATGATTGTAGTAGCCGGTACCCACGAGCACCGGTACTTCAACTCAATAGAATCGACAGTTAATCGACAATCCCTTAAGGTACTAGATGGTTTTGTGCATCCAGATTTCAGAAAGCTGGGTCCCTACAGTCATGATATTGCCCTCCTTATTTTAGCTGAACCAGGTAAACTTATATCTAGGATCTAGAGATACTAATAATTATAAGAATATTCAGAAATAATTATTAATTCTTTATTATATAGGTTAAAGAAACACCCATACGAGATTTTTTTGAGAAAAAGAATTGTTGAAAATTTTATATATTTGACATTTTCCGTAAAATTTTAAAAAACTTCTTAGTGCTACTTGTTTATTCATTTGAGATTCTCTACAGTGTATCTAAACCTTGCAGTGTTGCCACCTCCTACATTATCTATATTCAAAAAAATCTATATTCTATATCTATATTCAGAAATATATTTTTGTATTCGGTGTAATTTTAAATTTGTACACCAAAAATTACGAGTATTAATTTTAATCGTATCAGTATCTATTACTAACAATAATTCTAGAAACAAACCACATTAATTATTTTTACGCATACCACATTTTTATATTTATTTTCAACTATAGTTAGAAAATAACTCTTAACATTGCCACATTATGAAGTAGTTTCAATAAAAAAAATTCTTTTAAATATTTTGCTTCTAGTTACCTTTTCATTGAGGACCAAACTGGGTAAAATTATTCTTATGAGGTTTACGAAAATCATGGTTAAACCGAAAAATAACTTTATTTAGAACTAAATTTAATGAAATAATTCACCATATATCATTCATTAGATAACATAAAAGAAAATACAACATTTTTTAGATTTTACTAAATTATAGCATAGGTACGTACCTATTATATACTATGTACTTCTTTTGACTATCTGGCAACACAGGGCGTCGAATAAGTTGATAAACCTCTTGAAAACCCCTTAATAAACTAACCCTAACTCAAAATGTTGCCATTATTTTTTAAAATGTTCAAAGTTAAATAACGACGCGACGCGGTCATTTTCAATTTGTTTTAAAAATGGTAAAGAGAAAAGATGTTTCTTTTGACCAGATCTACCACCCCTTTAAATATCTGCACTTATTTCTGGAACACCCTGTATAACAAAAAAATTAGACACCTTTATTAATTCAAATTTTTAGGTTTTAAATTCAATGATAATGTAAAACCGGCCTGCTTGACTCAAGAAACGCCCACGCCAGGAACCTGGTGCGAAATTTCTGGATGGGGTTCCCAGGATGCCAGAAGTCCCGGTAAAATATCCCCTATACTGAAATCAGCTGCTGTGCCAATACTGTCCTTGGATACCTGTAGAAAGGAGGGAGTGTATGGTGGTAGATATCAGTCTATACTGGACAGTATGATATGCGCTGGTCATTTAAAAGGTAGTTTTATATATAAACTAAAAGTTATAACGTGTAACAAAGTGTAAGCGTCAGTAAATTAAGATTGTTTTGTCAATAGTTAACATTTAAAGTTATACAGAGCTGCCCGTTGTTTCTATAAAGCCTCATTATGAAGTTTTTACTTGAAATTTTTACACAAAATTTTAAAAGTATTTTCATAAATATAGACGATGAATATGCATACATAGATACATTTTTACAAAGAATTTTTTTTATCAGAATATATTTATTCCAAAATTTTCATTATCTGTAGTTCCTAGAATAAATTGGGAATATTGTTTACAGGGCTTTCCGTCCGTCGTGTTTTTTTCAAGATAACCGTCGGACGGAGCATACGCGCCCATGTGAAATTGTTCATATAAATTCATGGCACTTGATCGAAGTCGCGGACGCTCCGCTCCAACTGAAAAGCGCTGTGACAGCTCCAACTGAAAAGCGCTGTAGACAGTACGCGCGGAGCGTCCGCGGGGATGTTTTTTCAATATAGCTCGTCCGGACGGAGCATACGCGACCCATGTGAAATCGTCCACATAAACTCATAGTACTTGCTTGAAGTTGCGGACGGTCCGTCGCGGACGCTCCGCTCCATCTGAATACGCTGTTAAGTGCAAACCTAAATTATGTACTAAAATGTATTTCAGGAAAATACTTTAACCTCAGTAGGGTGACTCAAAAAGGTTTGAGTGGATCTGGATGATTTTTTTAAACGGAACACCCTGTATATTATTGTATTTTTGGCTTCCTTTTAGATCACTTTACATAACCCTAAGATATGAGTAAATATATTTCGGTACTTTCGGTGATATTAATAAATAAATAAAAAATATATTTTTTCGGTCTTTCTTAAAAAAAAAACATTAAAAATACACGAACTGTCCTGAAATCAAAACTATATTAGGTTTTTACTTTAGTTGGTCTGTACTTACTTTGCTATAAATATCGTAATCTTAAATCATACAGGATGTTCAAAATTCTATGCCAAACTTTCTAAAATATAATTTTTTTCGGGTTTTTAAATGGAACCCACTCTATATTATTTTTTTGTTAGATGGAGAATTAAAAAGTTAATATTTTTTGTATTTAGAGCATTTCAAAATTTTGACCGGTTCCGCAGATATTTGCGAAATTTATTTTATAATAATTATTATTTTTTTTTTCCACAGTAAATTTTTGTCAAAGCCACACAATGATTTTTCTCTCGTATTTTACCATTGAAAGTGCCATATGAAATAAACCGTGAGTATCTGCAATACCGTTAAAATTTTTAAAATACTCTATATACAAGATATGTTTATCTTTCAATTCTCCATCTAATAAAAAAATAATATACAGTGTGTTCCATTTAAAAATAAGTTTTGACGTTGAATTTTGAACATCCTGTATTATATAATATTACGATATTTAAAGCAAAGTAAATACAGACCGTCTAAAGAAAATGACTAATATAGTTTTTAATTTCAGGACAGTTTTTGTATTTTTAATGATTTTTCTAAGAAAGACTGAAAAGTATAAATTATTTATTTATTAATATCTCTGAAACTATCGAAATATATTTACTCATATCGAGGATGTAAAGTGATCTGAAAGGCAACCAAAAACGCAATAATATATAGGGTGTTACAATTAAAAAAAATCATCCCGATTCACTCGCATTTTTTTAAGCCACCCTGTAGAAGTTAAAATATTTTTCCTGAAATAGACATTTTAAATATTTTTTATCTTTGATTTTTATTTTTTGTTTCTCGCTTAAAAAATTAAGAGTTTTTTGTCGATCAACAGCAATTTTTTTACTAGTAAAAAGCCACCGACAAGCTAGTTTCCGTCTGGATTCTACGCAGTGATATTTTACAAAAAATAACTTTTTTCATTGGCGAATACCCATTTTTTTCAGAAAATAAAGACCTCTATTATATTAAGCAAATTAAATTAACGCCATTTTCATAAATTTTTACATCCAATCAACTAATTTTTTCAGCACAGCTTTGGAAGATAAGAGATTCCAAAATTATATTTGATAAAACGCCTGATTATGTGTTTTATAAATTAAAAAAGTAATAATGTTGTGTGGTACGTACTTACCTAAAAAAATTCTAGGTGGAATTGATGCATGTGGAGGCGACTCAGGCAGTCCACTAATTTGTCAAAACCACGGACGATACGAAGTGGTCGGTTTGGTTTCATGGGGAGATGGATGTGCCAAAAAGGACCGGCCAGGAGTATACACAAACGTACCAAATTTCTTGACGTGGATCAGAGAGACTGCAATAAATAACAACATTCGCTATGAAATATAAAATATTACATAATTTGTCTAATAAAAGAAGTCAACACAAAGCGTTCTTTTATTCCCACACCATGCTATCTTTAAAAAAAATCAATTTTTTTGTTCTAATTATTACATAATATGTATAACTAAGTAAAATGTCCATTCAAATCTCTAATAAAATTCACTAAAAATAACTTTTAAAACTTACTATCAATATTCCAAGAGGATTTATTTATAATTTATTCCAAAAAATATCGGACATAGTTCCGAGAAATAGCAATAACAAATATCATTTCAATATAAAATTTGAAGGCTTTTTTATTTGTACTAAAAAAACATTTCAAAGCCTCCCTTGCACTCCCCACCTCCAAAGCCTCCTCACCTCACAGCGCACAGTGCTATTTCTTTTAAAAATAATCCTCAGGTTACATCAGAGATGGTTTATATTTTGATTGTTATTTCAATAAACAATATCCAGTTTGGATATTATATACAATATTTTAAAACTTACCCTTCACTTATTCCAAAATTATTTTCCACTTCCACAAAATGTTCGAACAATATTCGTAATATCACACTAAATCACAACATACGCAGAAAACTTAAATTTATCTTAATGTTTCCAATAAACAAATATATCACAGCCTCCTTTTCTTTCCACAATCGTATTTTCTTTTTAAAATATTTTACGATAAATTTACTGCTATAAGATATGTTATGTAATATTTCTAATCGATAAATTACTTCAAGATAATTTTTTTAACTTCAAGCACTAACCTACGCTCATAAACAAAGGGAATATAAAAATATCTACATAAAAACTTTTTTTCTAGACCACAAAAAAATCAGATTTCAAAAAAAATTGCGCCATTCTTTGCGCCATCTCGTAGAAATATTCAGAACGTCAGCTAAATCACGGCTTATAGGAAACTGTAAATTACAGTTTTTTTTTTATTACTTTGTGACATTTGTCATGATTGACAATTTTCATGGAATTCAGAAAAACAAAAAGTGGCATCCTAATTATTTAGAAATTAATTCTAATAAATTATTAACTTAATTTGTAAGGACAGAATGAGTGGAAAATACGAACGAGACTTTAAAACCTCACCTGGTAATAGTTATAACACTTCAAATTTAACGTAAATATGAACACCCTCTTAATTATTTTGTTTTCCTTAAGGACTGTTTTGCATGTATTTGCTACATTTCTTCTCTAATTGATATTTTAAATTTTGTCAGTGTTTATTAGGGCACAGAGATAGATCGAGAAGTCGTTCGCCGATTAGTCGAACCATAAAAGAAGAAAAAGATGAAAAACCCGAAGAGAAAAAGATTGAAAATGTCGGTTTGGGGGTGAAGAATCGCTTGAAAAACATGAAAATTCAAATGAAACTTGGCTCAGTGAAAAAGGAAATAGTAAACAAACCGAAATTAACTGTAGCCGCAGCATTTAATCAGGATAGTGATGAGGAACCAGAACAAATGCCACCTGAAGCAAGAATGCGAATGAGGAATATTGGAAGGTAAAACATTTTTTATGTAATTTAATTGTATGTAAACTCAATCTCTTTTTAGAAACACGCCTACTTCGTCAGGACCAAACTCCTTTGGTAAAACAAAGCATGGGTTTTCAGATGCGAAAAAAATATTTGAAAAAAACCTAAAAGAAGCAATGGACGCTGCCAGAGCAGATGACTGACTTAGATTTCTACATAGTACAAATATAATGTTTTTTTGAGTGTGAATTCCTTATAATAGTACCAGAAGTTTTAAACATCGAGATAGTATTGTGGATTTTTTATATTTTTTAAGTTGTTGTTAGATACATAAGTTAATAAAAATTAACAGATGTCACCTGAAAAGTTTCCTTTATTTCTAAGGTACCTACTTGGCAAATAAAAGTATCTGTTTGCATGCAGGAAGTTTATTAACAAATGTTAGTATATATATATAAATGAAATGTTAGTATTAGAAAAGTATAGAGAAAAGCAAGTTTATGTATACAAAACAAATCTAGCTGTAAATCTAGTACAATATTATCCTAATATCTTTGGTTTGCAAACATTGTTTCAATATAATAATGCTTTAATAAGGTAAGTACATGAGTGGTACATGAAACATGGTAGTTGTAGAAGTAGGTAGGTAAAAAACTTTAATCAGCTTAAACAGGGAAGTCTGCGTACCACCCAAATGCCCCATTGTCTCCGGTATGTGCTCCAAAATCTACTACATCATCATTGTTAATTTCTGCATGTCTTTGTTGACGATTGCTATCAGATTCGTCTTCTGAATCTGACGGGTAAGCTGCTATCCATAAACACAGGCATCCCAGGATATACAAAAGAGCTAAAACCTTTCAAATGAAGTAAAAATCATAAAATATCAGTAAAAATTTAAAACTAATTTATACTTACGTATTTCATTCTATAGATTTAATACAAAACTAAAATTAATGTGCCTTTTTCTCTACTATTTATATCAAAAACGACTACTTTCTCTGAAAACTATATTATTGAGAAAGCTTTGCAACATTTTGTAAAAAAAGGCAAATCTGTATCAAAACAAGAAAAATTCCATTTGTGGTTGCAAATCGTTTAAAGAAAAACACCTATTATTCTTTATAGATATATTTCGTTTATCATAAATAGAGAAACACTTCATGCTTCATTTCATCAACCTTCCTTTGAATATTTTTCAAATTTCTCATTTTAAATTTCGCGCTTAAACCATACCGGTAGTAGTGCCATCTGGAATGTTACTATTATGACAGGCCATTCCGGTAAAATTTCTTTTGAATTGTCAGTGGTGCAAGTGAAAACATAAAATGGTAAATTTTTCCTAATTTTATAATAAATCCTTAAAATAATGTGATAATATGTTAGTCTTCAGTTATTATAAAAATGTAGTTTTAATAAGATTCTAAAGAGGGTATTTGTTTGAGTATAATAGCCTTGTATGAGCTTATTTCATTAACTTAACCTAAAAGAAGTTTGAAAGCATGTTGAATGCCACGATTATTGTGGAAAATATGACTATATAGTTTAATTAATAGGTAAAATGTGTTTTAGACTTGCAAAAGAAGGAATGGCGGTCGTGCTAAGCACGGAAGAGGACACGTACAACCAGTACGCTGTACCAACTGTGCTAGATGTGTCCCTAAGGATAAAGCCATCAAAAAGTTCGTGATTAGAAATATCGTCGAAGCCGCAGCTGTTAGAGATATTTCCGACGCGTCCGTGTACCCACGTAAGTAAAATTTTAATAAAAATTGTGATTTTTTAATGCAAAAATAAATCTTTACAGAATACGTTCTCCCCAAGTTATACGCAAAGTTGCACTATTGCGTATCCTGTGCTATCCATAGCAAAGTAGTGCGTAACAGGAGCAAAAAGGATAGGAGAATCAGGACTCCACCACAAAGGAACTATCCTGGACGTGACAACAACAGAGCCCAAGCCGCTCAAAGAAAGTAGTTATTATACTTTTATTTTAAGTAAAATTTTCCAATAAATGTGGATATAAAGTAAGGTTTTTTATTGAAACTATTTGTTTCTTAATCTAAAATAAAACAAAAGTATTGTTTAACATTTATTTCCATCTTAAATTTATTAAGATATTGTAACATATTTGCAAGTCTTTTTTTTAATACTGATAGCATTCTATATATCTCTCCATTTTAACACTATGCCTACAAAGAACTGAATTGAAATTTAACGTATTTGTTACTTACAAAAATAACAATTTACATATGTATTTATTCCTTTGCTATATGATAGTATAACTTTTCTTGATCACATAAGCAAGATAACAGTTTTAAATAATAAAAATACATATTTCAATTCCAAATAGGCTACTCAAATGTATTATTTATATTCTTTAAGCAAATAAGTGCATTTGGAAACTTTGGCATAGACCGAGATTCGAAAATTTCATAGAATTTCTTTGGATACATTTCAAATCACATTAACTTGACTTTTAGAATGACTTAACCAATACGATAGTGCTTTTAACATATATTTTTAATATTTATTTAGGGCACCTTACTAGCTAAGAACACCAATAAATGACTAGGTATATTTCTCCAATTATTTAGTACTTAATTTAAAAAAAATCATTAATTTTTAAAAATTCCCTTTCAGCGGCAGTTCATAAAGCATCATTTTTTAAAATCTTGGTTATAATATTGTTTTTTAAAGAGCCATATTAACTAAAATAGACTTAAAAAAGTATTTTAGGTAGAAAAAATTATCACCAACATTGGACAAGAATAGAGACAATTTTAAATTGGAAGATCTTGTTCTAAATTGTATTTGTACTAACTTTGTACATATACAAAAAGTGATTTATTGAGTAAGGGGTTTAAAAGTTTATATCCTCTAAAATATCTTTGGTTTTTTAGGCCTAAATGTAACAGAAATCTAGAAATTTTGGATTGGATAGAAATTGTTATAGGAAAATAGTTTATGGCACATATACTTTGTTTATATTATTTCTTTTTTTTTATACACAGATGCATTAACTACCTACAACCTATCTTCAACAACCAAAACTGTTCCCTTGATCAGCAGCTCTTTTTTTTCAAAATTATGGTCGCCAACCCATAATCACTTTTTTGAATGGTACAAATATACCATGATATGGTTCACTGCAATAATAATTCACATTAAGTATAAAAAATAATAACTGGAGCTGAGTTAATAAATAAATGCCAAAAATTCGGTACTATATTGCATTTTAAAAAATTATGTCTAAAAGGTAATTTTTTTAAATATTAAGACACCTTTTTAAATGATCTTATGCACAGGGTGGGTCAAATTCGACGGTTTTAAATGGAAACACCCTTTTCTATAGGAGATAGACAAAAACTAATATCGATGTCTGGAGCTCAATTTTTGTCAAAAACATGATGGCGAAAACCGCATATCGATATCTGTTACCTTTTCGGAGTTACGGGGTGTTTTTCAAAAATATGCATTTTTAACAAATCGCTGTAACTTTTTTGCTACGTAAAATTTTGTATTTTTATGAAAACATTTCCAAAGCACCTTTTTACGTAGAATTTAATGGTTTAAGTATAATTCTTTTAAAATTAATAATTTAAGAATTATCAACAGAAAATTTGATTTTTATATGGGACACCCTGTATATTTTTAATTTATTGAAAAGAATTTAAAATTACCTTTCCGAAAATATAACACACTTGATATTTTGCTCGATTCCTCTTCGAGATATAGAGTATATAAAAATTCGCCCGCTTTAAATAAGTAAGCTTTGAATGGCACTGACTGTAATGCAAAAAAATTCTAGCTGTGAGCATAATTAAAACGAAAATAATATTTTCTATGAGAGATGCAGAATTTTATAACAACTTAAGATATATTCAACCAACATCAACACATTTAAACTATATCTAATAACAATAAAAATAAATAGGAAAACAAGACATGAGATTTTGCTACAGGTGTTCGACATATCAACCGTCTTCTGTTATGGACAGACGGGGCAGTTTTTGAACATTTCTCGCGGAATTTATTAACTTAGTGAGGGTGAAAAATATCCTCTCGTAACTGCTAAGTATTTCTAATTCTTGTCTAGATTATACGGAAGAATAAGGAGCCTTTAATCTTCCGCAAATATATCCATAGGATTTTATCCATGGGCACTCAGGCGGCCTCGACGGCCAACGGCTGGGATCTTGGTTAGCTATTCAATTATTCTTGAAATTGACTGCAAAAATTTTCTGATAACTTCAGCTTTCAGAGGCGGTGCATCCTCTTGCTGGAAAAATATGTTTTCGAGTTTCATTAAGGGCATATCATCAATAAAGTGTCCAAGGCCTACTAGTTAAAAGTGGCAAACTTTTATAAATCCTGTATTTCAAAGGGGATTATAACAAAATATCAAGTGTGCTATATTTTTGGAAAGGTCATTTTAAATTCTTTTCAGTTAATTAAAAATATAGAGGGTGTCCCAAATAAAAAATTACTTTTTCTGTTAATAACTCTTAAATTATTAATTTTAAAAAAATTATACTTAAACCGTTAAATTCTACGTAAAAAGGTGCTTTGGAAATGTTTTCATAGAAATACAAAATTTTTCATAGCAAAAAAGTTACAGCGATTTGTTAAAAATGCACATTTTTGAGAAACACCCCGTAACTCCGAAACGGTAACAGATATTGATGTGCAGTTTTCACCATCATGTTTTTGATGAAAATTGAGCTCCAGACACCGATATTAGTTTTCGTCTATCTCCTATAGAAAAGGGTATTTCCATTTAAAAGCGTCGAATTTGACCCACCCTGTACAAAAAATATATACAGGGTGCTAGATTCGGGGTACGAGCATTGGTATGTCGGTAACCGTAATAGATACGAACCTGGTTAAATTAGGGCAAAGTTGCGCCTTGGTGTTCACTAAAATGTCATCAAAAAAATTTCAAGGATCACTGAGTTTTTTGGGAGAAACGGATTTTTTTGAAAATCGATTTTATTTTTTCCTGTCGTTACTTTTTAGAAAATCAAAAAGCTTATTCTCAGGAGACTGAATTCTTTCAAAGTCTCAAACATCAAATGCAGGTCCGTATTTAAAAAAATTAAGTTGGCCTATGTATCTCACAAATTGTCAGCTAATTTGAAATCTAAAAATACTATCAGATAGCCCTGATAAAGTGGCTACGAGAATGTGCAATTAGATTTTTGATTTTCTAAAAAGCAACGACAGGAAAAAATAAAATCAATTTTCAAAAAATCCGTTAATCTCAAAAAACTCAGTAATCATTGAAACTTTTTTAATAGCATGTTGGCGAACACCCCAAAGCGCAACTTCACCCCAATTTAACCATCTTCGTTTCTATTACGGTTTCCGAGATACCAATGCTCTCGAATGTAGCCAATGTACCTCGAATTTGTAGCACCCTATATAGCCCCAAAAGTTTGAAACTCTAAAATTATAAATTAATAATAATAATTTTGCAAGTGGTGTCGCTGATTGAACACCCTGTATATCCCAAAACAAGTATTCTATCTAAAAACGCAAGTTGATTAACTAAATTTTATTTGTTTAATTTAAACTATTTTTGAATTACATATATGTCTACATACAAGGTGAGTCTTGCAAAGTGCAAATATTTTCAGGGCTGGTAGATCTCGATAAAAGAAACATTTTCTTTTTGCCGTTTTTCAAATAAGCTCAAAAAAAAACAAATTATTTTATTTTGATAATTTCTAAAAAAAATATTTTTTCCTTAAATTTTGAGAACCACTGGATCTTTTCTGGATTTTCTTTCTTGTAAATTTAATCTACTACCTATGTTGCATATTACCAAGAAATTATGTTTTTTAACTAAAAACTAAAACTTTTTTCCAAAAATTTTTAAATTTTCAACATTTTTCGCGAAAAAACCCTCATAATCGTGTTTCTGGGGTCGAAATATACTACCCCTAAAAATATTTGCACTTATTTAAGACTCACCCTGTATAATATAACTATTTAGGTTCACTCTATAGAACTAAAATAAGTTTGTAGAGAAACACTAAATCAATAAAAAAAACTTAAGATCAAAAAAAATATTAAAAAAAATTATCTGAAGACTGCAACCTTGGTAAGATGAAAGGCCTGAAAAGTCTGACACAATTTATGACGTCACCAAATTATTACAGAATTTTATATTTTTTATTTTGCAGGAATATTAATATTTATTAATAATTTTTGAGGCTACAAAAAGATGAAAAAAGTGATAAATAACTATTATAACTGTCAAAAGAGATAATAAATAGGTCATAGTTGTATGTCATTTTAATTCAAAAGTAAGTTCTATTGTGTCTATTGTCATTTTTTAAATGTCCATTGACGTCACTTGGAGGAATTGTCAAAACAGTTAGGCCTCTGTATCTCACAAAGACTTTCATTACATCTTTACTCACCACTGAAAGTACCTTCTCCCTCCATAAACACCATCACTAACGCCCTCTGGACAAGCTAATTGAACACCAACATATTGCTCTTGTCCATGTGTTGCTACAACCCCAATATACCTAACTCTACCTCCCCTGACTCTACCTTCCAGCGTAATCACTTTCACCCAGTTGTCCAATTTTAAATCTCTTGGTAATCGTGGCAAAAACGGTTGCCAGCCCTGTGGAGGAACGTTGTCCCTTGCTGGTTCTGGGGCTGAGGCTCTTCTAGGCACAGTCTTTTTAATTTCTCTAAAAAGATGTTTTTTTTATTATATTATCATACAGGATGGCGCACCTCATTCGCCTCGGTTGATTATACGAAAATGGAAAGATGTAGAAACAAAATATTTTATGGATATATGTGGGGAGGTAATGTGCACAATTTAAAATTATTTTGAAATGTACAGGTTGTTTCAGAACTAAGATCCATACCAAAGTTAGATTTTTTCTTATGGAACACCCGGTATTTTATTTCATTTTTGGATTCTTGTGCCCAAAAAAGGTATTTATTATAAGGGTTAAATATGTTTAAAATCTTTGGTTTTTGAGATATTTAAAGATATTTAAATTTGCATGCTACAATAGAATAGATTATTGTACCCTGTACATTACTTTTCAGAATTAATTCTTATACTGACTTTTATGCCAGAGAAATAAACTTTACAGAAAAATATTATTCCTTGCTTAAATGTATACAGGGGTATCAAAAATTGCTGGTCTATTTTAAATATTTATTTTACATAAAAACTTCGTTATTTCAAATGCAACACTATGTATTTTTTCAAATAAGTCGAAGCAGATTTAAATGCTCTTTCAAACTATATTAGGGTTTCCTATACCTATCTTTCTCAGATTTTGAATAAAAAGCGATTTTTCAATAAATGTTGTCCTGGCAAGTTTCTAATGACAGTAGCTACATATTTTCAAAATCGAAATTAGTTTATGGACTTAGTTAAATTTTATACCAGTTTACTTTTATTTAATTTATCTACAATAGTTTAATAAATAATATTTATTAAATATATGTTTATTATTCTATCAAGAAAAACGAAGAAGTAGTTCTTTGAATTATTTTACGATGACTTGCATGTATGGATTTTCTATAAAAGAGCCAATTACGGCAAATTCATTTTCTTCACTTTCAACGGCAGGTTTCTGCCTAATAGGTTTTTCGGAATTTTTCTAATAGGAAATAGGATAAGAAGTTTTTCAAAGAAACGCTTATCAGGAAGATACCTATTTGGATATCTTTGAGTATAAGCACTATTTGGATATCTTTGAATATCTAGCTACGCAAGCCAGATATTCTGTGGTATATAAGCCCTTGAGGCCAAGAAGCAATTTTCCTCACAAAATAATATCACTATTAGTAACATATCTATTCGTTCCGCCAGCAGATACTGCTTTATTTTTCTTGATAAAATAATGAATACCTACTTATTAAACTATTGTAGGTAAATTTAAGTAAACTGTTACAAATTATAAATAATAATGTCCATAAACTAATGTCGACTTTGAAAATAGTCACTAACTGTCACTAAAAAAATTGCCATGGCGACACCAGCCATCTTGATTACAATTTTATTTAAAAATCGCTTTTTATTCAAAGTCTGAGCTAGATAGGTATAGGACACCCAAATATAGTTTAAAAGAGCATTTGAATCTACTTCGATTTATTTAGAAAAATACAGGGTGTTGCATTTGAAATAACGAAGTTTTTATATAAAATATATCCCTAAAATAGATGCAGCAACTTTTGATAGCCCTGTAGAAATTTAACGAACCAATACCATTTTTCAGTAAAGTGTATTTTTCTACCTTTAAAGTCAGCATAAGAATTAATTCTGAAAAGTTTTGTACAGGGTGTTAATAGTCTATTCTATTACTGTAGCATGCAAATTTTAATATCTTTAAATATCTCAAAAACTAAAGATTTTAAACATATTTAACACTTGTTTAACACTGTTCCATAAGAAAAAATATAACTTTGGTATGGATCAAATAGTGATAGATCAAAATAATTTTAAATTGTGCACATTACCTCCCTACATATACCCATAAAATATTTTGTTTCTACATCTTTCCGTTTTCGTATAATCAACCGAGGCGAATGAGGTGCGCCACCCTGTATAGGTACTACAGGATAGTTGTGTTTCTACCCATATGAGACAGATCCTTTATTGGTCACTATGCAATCTATAGATCTTCTAAGAAAATTTTCAGCCTCATCCACCAAAGAATCTGTACTATCTCCACTATCAACTGTTATCCAGTCTGTTCGTAGTTCTGGCAAAGAACCATTTGCAAACCTCACCTGTTCAAAAAATAAGTCATACAATAAACTAAAATTTTTAAAAATCAAAATAACTAACTCTTGAAGACGTAGACTTCAAAACAGCTCTCCTGGATGGCGAGACTGGTACAGAGCATCTCCTTGAAGGTGCTGGGGGAGACAATGGATATATACTGCTGTAACGCGATTGGGTTTGACTGCTCTCGCTAGGAGTAGCAGTATTGGCAGTCCAAGTAAATTTTTGTGACTAATAGTGAAAACATTTTAAAGATATTTATACATATTTCTATTCTAGAAGATTATATTTACCAAACAGCCTGGTGAGTATAAATCAGTGGCTTTCAAAAATTGTCCATAGTTTGTTACTGTTGGTGGTTTTAAAGCGCCAGGGCATAGATGGTCGGCAGATCTGGATAATTCTGGCACCATGCTAGTAAAACCAATATCTGACAATAGAACTCTTCTGGCCTCGACTGTCTTTTCGGACAACCGTAAACGGGATCCTGGCATTGGATACTTTGATGGAAGAGTGGTGAAATGATCACCTAATTTAGCCTAAAATAAATGTTATATACAGGATGGTCCACTGTTCTGAAAAAGTTAAATATCAGACTTCCTATTTGAGATTTTTAAACAAAAAAGATTTCTTTACAAATCATTGAAATTATTTTTAAAAAAAATACAGTATGTCCCCGGATTGTCTTTACTAGGAAAAAAAAACTTTTTTTATTATTGACATTTTTAGAAAAATGCATTCTTCATAAAAATGTTTAAAATGCTTGAAAAAGAAAAAGAAAAAAACGTGAAAATATGGTTTGATGATTTTTTCCTAGAAGTCCTACATTTCATTCTTTGATAGATGGTTATATTAATTATGATTAACGTCATATTTTTTGTTGTTAATATAGTCTTTCCCGATAACTATCAACTGCTATCAATAACAATCTAACAAAAAATGAAAACGAAATTATATTACCATGGAAATGCATTTTGATCTTTAGGACTTTTTTGTTTTTTTCTCATGTTTATTTTTAAATTTTCTCTAAAACGATGGAAAGAATGGAAATTTGGAAAAGTAGAAACAGGAGTAACCTTTTTAGAACAAGCAAAAATTTTTATGAAGAATGCATTTTTCTTAAAATATCAATATAAAAGATTTTCCTTTTGTAATAAAGACCAGAACATACTATAGTATATTTTCATATGTTTAATGTAAAGTTGTATTTTTTTACCATACATTATCTCAAAATACCATAGGCCATCATAATCTACACCGGGTGTTCTCTGAAATATGGCCATTATACAGAGTTTTTCGAGCAAATGAAGAACTGTTCATTAGAAGTTTTTAGGATCAATCATAGAGAAAGATAATTTTTTCATTGCTTTCTCTATGGGACCAATCTATTAAAATCATTTTGATTTTGTCATATATGCGAAATAATAATAATTAAATATTTTTCAGCATCAGTGAATTTTATTCATAAATTTATTTCTTTGTTGGAAAATGTCTTGCTCTATACAGGGTGTCCCAGAAATAAGTGCAAGTATTTTAAGGGGTGGTAGATCTCGATAAAAGAAACATATTTTCTCTTTGTCGTTTTTTAAATAAGTCCAAAATAACGGAGTTATTTTACTTTGAAAATTTCCAAAGAAAAATATTTTTTGCTAAAATTTTGAGAACCACTGAATCTTTTCTGGATTTTCTTTTTTGTAAATTTAATCTACTACGTATGTTGCCATATTATCAAGAAATTATGTTTTTTAAATAAAAACTAAAAAAAGTTCCAAAAAATTTTTCAAAAAATTCCGCATTTTCAATTTTTTTTTTCGTGAAAAAAAACCTCATAGGCGTGTCTCTGGGGTTGAACTATACTACCAGTTGAAAAACTTGCACTTATTTCTGGGTGTATCTTATCTATACAGGGCGTATAGATTTTTACAACAATTTATTAAATATTATACAGGATTCTCATAAAATTGCTACAAAAATTACATTAAAAACGTAAAAAGAATATTATTTTTGATAAAAAACATCCATTTGCCTTCTTTTTAGTTTATTTTTGGTGTTAAATTAAAGCTAACTTTATTAAAAACTGCTTGAGATTAATTTTTTAAATTTTAGTAATAGAAAATTTATGGCGAATGCGCTAGGAAAAAAATCACCCTCATTTTTAAAAACCACAACTTTAAAAATATGTTTGAATATTGAATTGTATAAAAAATCTCGAATACAAAATAATAACAATTAACTATGAAATAATATGTGTAATTAAAAATTCTATGAAAATGTATAATTAAATTAAGGAATATTATAATAAAATTGAAATAACCTTATGAGCTAAACTGCTCTCAGATCGCCATGCTGATCCTGGTAAAGCTGAGATGTCAGTTTGGGCCCCGGATTCCCTTCTAACTGCATTCGAATGAGTTAGAATAGGCCTAACTCGTTTGGAGTTTATACCTTTACTCATTACATCCCTACGAAAGAAAGGACCAAAAAAAATTCAATAAAAATTCAATTAAAAAACAATGTACCTATGTGATAGAGGCCTATATTGTATTGGATTAGGACAGGTATTTCTTCTACCACCAACGTATTCAACTTCATGGATTCCACACTTCGAAATATCTGTTTCTACAATTCTAACTCTTTCTTCAAACCTATCAAAACTCTCGTCCTTCTCCAAAGACTTGTTCTCAAAACTTGAATCCTGATATGAATAGTAACTTTTCAAGCTCTTCTCGTGATTGATTGAATTGTCGGATCGAGAGTTGAATATCGAGTTTTCTCTCTTCAACTCAAAGGAGGACTGATTCTGAAAATCCTGAGCATTCTCATCTACCCCTTCATTAAAAACATCATCATCTAACTCTCTATCTGATATCTGATCAAGATCACTTAAAGGTAAGTTGAGGAGGTTTGAATTAGACTCTGTAGCATCTATAGGCACCAATTCCTCCTTAAAATCCTGATCTTTAGTTTCATCCGTCGTAAAAATCAGTTCAATATCATCAACCTCCTGATCCATATCATTTTGCGGGCTTATCATTTCCTCATTGTATTGATTCCCAGTAGCTCTTTCTTCTATGTCCTCTTGGTCAGTCATTGTAGTATTTTCAGTGTTGAAATTAAGCTCCCTTTTAATTGACAGTAAGTTTGCAAAACTGATTGTCTTGGACAATGATATTTTCTTATCCAAAGGCGATTTAAGAACTGTGAGGCTCTCTAAAGATCTCGAATTTTTATTGTTCTTTTTAAGTGCTTTAATTATGATTCTTGTTTCTAGCTGTCTTGGAGTGGGTTGAAATGATGTTGGAGGTGAAATTATGGTGACTTTTTTTACATTTTTTTGTTTTGTACTTGCAGTACTATCAGTTTTTATAGGCTCATTTGTAACTAGAGTCTGTGATACATTTAATTGCGCATCTTCTTCAGTTTGAACTAATATTTCTTCATCAGTATCATGTTTATCTGTTTCTTTTTCAGACAAAACCTGTTCTACTGTATGTTCATCGACTAAATCTATATTTTTTTCTTCAATCAATTCATCTATTTCATTGTCAGAGTTTAAAACTTGAGACCCGTGCAAGCTTGAGTCATGTTCAATTATTTTTTGTCTAAGAATATGATTTTCAATGGATAAATCCCTAATAACATCTTGTACCGATTCTATAGGCCATGCCTTTGATTTCAATTCCAAAATTTCGTTTTTACTCTGTTCTAAAGCTGTTCTTAAAGCTACGATAGTTTGGTGCAAGGCTCTTACCGTTTCCAGTCCGCCACTTTGAGACACACCAACCCCAAAATCCATTTTAAAACCTCCTCATCCATACTGCACTAATTAAAAGCTTGAATTAGAAGTTAATTAACGGGTTTGAAATTTTAATTTGGTTTAAACGCGTAATTTTTTTGTGCCAGATGGACATCTAAAATTTCCGTGTTTGTAGTCACTTTAAATTTCGTACGCAATCATTTATCACAGTCGTTAATTTCAACGAGTTTACACTTTCTGTTCGTGATATAGGCCGTGGTAACGCTATAAACAAATCAATTAACAAGGTTTTGCACTCTATACACAATATATGAGCATTTGAAACATAAGATAATCAATACTGGCAAGGGACCCAATTTTTATTCAACCCCGGGAATATTTGTATTCAGATTCAAAATCGATTTTATCTCCGTCGCACTCCAACTGAAGAAATAAAATGGAATGCAGTGGGCGACATACGTGTGTTCTTAGTACATAGTATTGACTCCAAAAATAATTTAAGTTTTTTCACAAATAACCAGAAAATATACGCAAAGAAATGCAACAAATTCTATTAATTAATTAGAAAAATATTTAATTTTCATATTACAAAAGGATTTTCCAATACTGAAGCAGATTTTAGTGAAAATAAAAATTAAAAAAGATTGAAGGGACAACAACTTAAATTTCGCGCTGATTACAACAGCTGATTCAAATCAAAATTCAAATTTTTAGGTTAGAAATAATTTAAAAAGATTTTTACCTAAAAAAATGTTTTCTTATAGTGTTTTAAGAGAAATTAATCAAGTTTCGAAGACATTCAGAAGATACAAAAATCCTTCTCACCACTGGGTACTCATTATCATTTATAAATAAATAATTATCTTAAATTTTACCTTTTTTAGTCGGTTGTGCGTAAAAAAGTTCACCCCATTGATAAAGCTTTAGACCACTTCGACGATTTTTATAAGCAAGTTTTTAAAAAACAATGGCCTTCGATAAGGGAGGGTTTGCTAGCAAAACCAAAATATGTTGCTGTTATTAATAATTTCGGAGATTGCGAGCAAACCATGTCAAAACTTGAACTTAGTGGAGCTCTAAATATGAGGACGTTATTTAATCTTGAAAAGGACTATATGAAGGAAGAATTACGGGAAAATTCAAATAAGCAATTATTAAAACAAATAATGAATCTTGATAAGCAACTGGAAAAACAGGCAAGGCAATCGAAAAAGACAGAGGAGAAACCAAGTGAAAAAATTGAAAATACGAAAAATTATTCATTAGAAGCTTCATTAGAGCATGCAGAGTTAGATCACTTAAGAATAGTAGATTCAAAAACGCCTTATCTACAGAGATTCTTAATGAATTCGTGCCAGCCACTAAAATAAAAGGCAAAGAAGACTTTATTCCTGAATCGACTTATTACCAAATGTTCGATAGCACTGCTTCTTCACAAGTTAAGATAGAAAAAGACTATAATCTAAATTTTCCAGACAACCTTAATGTATATTGCTATGAAATGGATAACTATAACGATTTTGAACCAGTGAAAAAAAAGTTCAACCGGTGTGTCAAATTATTATCTAATGGATGGTGGTTCAATACTACCGGTTTTAGCTTTGGATCTTAAACCGGTTCTAAAGTATTAGATATGTGTGCCGCACCGGGTGGTAAAAAGCCTACTAGCTATACAAACATTGTATCCTGAATTAGTGGTATCAAATGATCTATCAAACTCCAGAGTTAACAGGATTCAGAGTGTTTTTAACCAGTTTTTTATACGACTTTAATGAAAAATGGCTAGACACACAAGAAAAATAAGACTCCAAAATTCTGATGCTGCAGCTTTATAGAAGACCTGTATTATGATAGGATTCTTGTGGATGTTCCTTGTACAACAGATAGACATTCTTTGAAAGAAAACGACAATAATATATTCAAACCTTCAGAATAAAAGAAAGGTTGAAACTGTCCGAATTGCAAGCGGAATTATTGTTTAATGCTCTAAGAAATTGTTAAACCTGGAGGAGTAGTTGTATATTCCACTTGTTCTCTAAGCCCTATACAGAATGATGGTGTTGTATCTATGGCACTGAGAAGAATTTGGGGAGGAAACAAAGTTTAATATTGTAGTGAAGTAAATTATCTCTTTTGATTTATGTGTTGTTTTATTAATTTGTTTATATTCTAGGGACTTATCTATAGCCTTACTGCAAGGAAGGAATGTTTATAATATTGCTAAAAGAGATACAGTTAAATTAGGACATCTGGTTTTACCTTCTATGAAACAAAATTATGGACCTACATATTTTTGTAAATTAAAAAAAATTGAATAATTTTTTAATATTGTAGTTTTATTGACTTCATATTGAACTCTTTGGTAGTAAACTCACATTTTACCTTTTTTTAATTTTAGTATGGCATATGATCGACAAAACATGGCATTAAGTCAACTTTCAAGGTAACTTTGTTTTTTTTTTCTTCATCAGAAAAAAATTTTCTGATAAGCGTGCTTTGTTTGATGACAGATAAATAATTCGTGTGAGACTTTGAATAAGGTGTGAGATTTTTTTTTAGATGTCAAGTCCAATAAAGAATTTGAATTACCTGCAGCAGTTTAAAAACAGATGTAAAGTAGGGCGCGTTCACCATTTTGTGATGAAATAAGTGTTTTAAACAATTTTAAGTAGGTATCAATAAAAATGAATATTATTAGTTAAAGTTTCTTTTATAAAGAAAGCAAGCAATTTTATTATTAATATAAATTACCAAATTTTTCTTAGTTGGCTAATAATGATTATCATCTCTGTGTGACAAGTAATTTGTTAATTTATGTATAAAAATATTTTTTTAAGAAATATTAAATCTTGTTAAAAATTTGCAACCTCACAATCTAGACTAGTCAACATTTGTTTTAGTATATTTTTTTGTATACAGAGTTGCTCTAAAAATTTTGAATTGGCTTGCGAAATGGCGTAATTCTTCAATATAAGTAAAAATATAAATAAAAAAGTTGTCTAACAGAAAATAATAGTAACAATTAATAATAACTAATATGTTAAAGCTGACTTTTGCAGTATAACTTAAACCAATTTTGGCCCATAAAAATTGAGCAACTAACCAAATATGAGCAACAAAGTAAGATATACGAGATATACAAAATATGTGAATGTGAGAAATTTTATAGAGAATGATTTATAACTTGTTTCATTTATCTATGGATTTATCAACGTTCATGGGACACAGGACATAGAATAGATTTTAGCAATGCCAAAATTAGAATTAAGTAGACTATAATAGAAATTGATGATTGATATGGTTATCACATCTAAATTCATATACCTAGGTACAGAAATGTTAAGCTCTTTGATCTTACCTCATTGTTGCCTCATTGAATAGAATCCAAATAGAATCACATATTTCAGAGACCCATAGACCAATGTCATAAATGACATTTTTAGGAAAATTTAGATTCAAACTGTGTCATCTTCTATTTTAAATGGTTTTCCACCCATTTTATGCAGATATTATATTGCTAAAGACTGTCCCACGAGAGCATACAAGACATTCAGCCTGTCATTTTAATTCATAGGTAAATTGTATATCTGTGGGTTTTTGGATGGTCGAAATCATAGCCGACTTCTTGAATACGTTTGAACATCAACTGTTTTAAAGAAATAATTTAGATACTTAATCGCTTGAGACCACCGCAATTTCTTTAAAAACTTCTTATTAAAGTAAGAATTTCGTTTCGAGTCACGTCTTAACGCTTTGCCACTCAGTCGCATCTTGTGTTCTGGTTGTTAAATTGGGCGAAAACCAACGAAAAAGTGTAAATTGCACGCGGTGTTAATTTGTTAAGGCGGGCAAAAGTTACGCATTAATTGGCTTCTATTATAATTAAAGATCCGAATTAGTTTGGGTTCGTTAGTGCCGCATAAAAATATGGAACAAATACGTGATCTTAACGAACATGTTCTAAGTACTTAATTGCATACATGTTCTCCAAAATAATTGTTATAATTCGCACTATAAATATCATCAACAGCCAGATGCTAGTATACGATCGAAAAAAAAGACGTCAAGATGGCTGGAGAATGACAATGTGACAATCTATGATCATTTTGGCGAGGTCAAGCCCTATAATGCTTGTTATTATTTTTATATTGGATAAAAATTATTTCTAAATGGTGTAGCTTGAGTAAATAGCTTTATAATGTCTTTGGTAAATAGCTATATATGTAACAAGTTGCAAAATGAATGTGTTTTAAGCACGGGACGCAAAATTGTCCAACGAGGCGAAATCCGCGAGTTGGACAATGCGTCGAATGCTTAAAACCAATACCACCTAGATATCAACTTGTTTAGGTGGTATTGTTAAAACACTCTTTTCGCAATGAATTTCATACAAGATTTTTTGTGAAAGCGGATAATTTGAGATTTTCATGCCATTATAATTATCTATTTTTAAACATTTTTTAAAATGTTCTATACAACTTATGTATATGATGATGATGTATTATAGAATAGACTGCTTTTCCTGTATATATAGATATTATATAATTACAAATAATAAATGAATATTTAAGTAATATCTTTTTCCGAACAGTCTGTTATAACTAGACCAGTAATTAATGTTTTTGTGCCTTCTCTAATGGTATGGTAACAAATAACAGTTTTTCAAATACGCTATTAAGTTTTCAGACCATATGGATGGACGATTTGTTACGTAGCTATAACAGAAATATGTTTAAAAGGAATTTCTGATTATGGTAATGTCGACATGTTCCAAGCATCATTAATTTTCTGCTAAAAACAGTTTTACTGTCACGATTTTTGCCTAAAGTATTTGTTAAAAGAAAAAATGTGACAAAAATTCAACAACGTTAAAAAACTTCTAAATCTAACAACTATGAAAACTAAAATCGACAACTATGAAACTATGATCCCTTCCCCGACACAAACGGTACATTGTGAGACAGGAAATTGTAGAGAGAAACAAGCCCTATAATAGGATACAACATTTTAATGAACAGTGCTTTCCATAAAATCAATAAAATGAAAAATATACGAAATAATATGCACGTACTGATTTCTTTCGAAAATCGACAACTATGAAATTATAAACCCTTCCCAGATACAAACGGTACATTGTGAGACAGGAAATTGTAGAGAGAAACAAGCCCTATAACATAGTATACAACATTTTAATGAACAGTGCTTTCCATAAAATCAATAAAATGAAAAATATACGAAATAATATGCACGTACTGATTTCTTTCGAAAATCGACAACTATAAAACTATGAACCCTTCCCGGACACAAACGGTACATTGTGAGACAGGAAATTGTAGAGAGAAACAAGCCCTATAACATAGGA